AAACACAGGTCTTTTACTTCCTTGGTTAAATGTATTTCTAGACATGGGTGAGAAAGGTGAAAGAGATTAACAAGTACAAATTGCCAGTTATAAAAATACTAGGGTGTAAAGTACAACATAGGGAACACAGTCAATAATATTGTAAAAACTATTATGGTGTCAGATGGCTGGGTACCCAACTTACTGGGGTGATCACTTCATAAGGTATATAAATGTCTAGTCACTATGTTGTACACCCGAATCTAATATAACATTGTATGTCAATTGTCATTGGAAAATAAATCATAAAAAAACAAGCAAATAAACAAACAAGCAAAGATCAATTAAATAAAAAAAACCCAACAACTTTGCAAAGCGTTTTTGTCAGCTCTTGGTTCAGTCATGTGCCCAGTGATGGAGCGTGGGCGCCAGGGTGACGGATGACCCTGTAGTTGGGTCTTGGCGCTGATGCTGGTTCGCTGTGTGTCTTACGGAGACGCTTAACTTCTAAGCTTCATTGAACTCATCTGTGGAATGAGGACCATAGCACCCACCTATGGGTGGGTAGCAGAGTAAACATGAATTGAAAATAGAATCGATGGAAAAAGTGGCATCTCATTTTTTTAAAAGAGCGTTTCTTTGGTTGCTACAGATGTTGAACATTTTAAAATATCTGGCCATACATCTGGGTGTATGTGTGCGTGTGTGTTTGATCTGCCCACTTTTGTTACTGTCCATTCTCTACAAGATATGTTCTTCTAGAGTTTTGTAAGTGCTGCTTACACAGTAAGGATATTAACCCTGTGAAATACTCGCTGCTGTGAGGTTGGTCTTTCAGCATCAGCTACCCGTGACTCCAGTCATGGCGCCATGTCCTTACTTTCTTGGCTGCAAAAATAAATCAAATAAACTATATGTTGCAAATACTTCCCACCGTACATTGTTTGTATTTTCATTGTTCTTGCATGTGACTTCCCAGAAAGTTTTATTTTTTTAATACACTTTTAATTACAGAGTGATTTTTGGAATAACCTTGGATTTACAGAGAAGTTGCCACGGGAGCTTCTGTATGTCTTTCAGTCACCTCTCCCTGATATTCACGTCTGACACAACCGCGGCACGTTTGTGGAAACAAAGCAATCCCATACCGTTTTAGAGCGGCCCTGTTCATGTGCTGCAGAGAATCAAGCAGCTCTGATACAATGATCTTCCTCTGGTGGAAAATTTGGTTTAAAGTTCGGTTGATGGAAATTTGGACCTTTTTTTTCCCCAGAAAGCATGACTTTCTGTATTTTCTATTAAGAACACAGAAGTCTATCTAATTCATAATGTTCTGAAAAATATCATTCATAGTTAACTAACAGAGCTGTTGGATTCTTTTTACTGCAAGAAATATTGTTTCTACATGCAAAGACGTTCAGAGTTTGGATTTTGAAGTGCTTTGGAGTCTGGTAACTCTACTGGAGGATTTAATTCGTCGTTTATTCTCTGATGGTTCCGTTTAGTGTCTTACCCTCCCCACAGTTATGCTACTCACTTTCTGAGGTTAAAGGGCAAAAGTGAGAAGCGTCCCTAACATCACCCTTAATAGGAAGCAATAGGCCACTGGAGCACTTTTCTAAAGAGATCTATCACCTTTCTCTTCCGGAATTAGAGCTTCTAGGGAGAGGCTGGTAAGGAAGAGTTTGGTCGGAAATGATCCTTTCCTAGAGCTGAGTAGAATGACCTAAGATGACTGGACAGTCCAGAGCAGTGACCTGGGGTCGGGGGCCAGAGCTCCCAGCGCCTGCTCCAATCCTGGCTCAGCCCTGGGCCTTCCCAGCGAGACACTTCCCCGCTGCGGGTCTCCGTTCCTCGTCGGCAAAGCAAGGGGGCCCTAGGGATCTCTTTCTGGCTGGAAATTTTCTCCATGATTCTCAAAAACAGGTTTTATAGGGGGTAATGCCTATGTCTGTGATTGGGGTGATCGTTTCATCGGTGGGTACACATGTCAAAACTTACCAAGTGGCCTGTTTTAAATATTTAGTTTGTCGAATGTCATGCATACCTCAAAACAGCCACCTAAACAGATTCTATCCAGCTCCTAGAATGGTGAGGGGGCAGAGGAAGGATGGAACTCTGTTTGATAAGGCTCTGTTTGTGTCGTCAGAAACAACAGGGGCAGAGACGGCAGCGCTTCCTCGGGTTTTCCCTGGAGCCTCCTACTAAGGCTTGTGCTTTCTCTCCCCTGACTTCTTCTCTGTATTTTTTTATTACTATTTTCATCCGTTCCAGGGACTGTTCTCTTTCCTCACCTCAGGCATGATCCTGGAGTCCTCTCCCTTGTTTGGCCCTAGGCTCAGGAGAGAGGGGTCCAAGCTCACCTGCAACCCAAGAGTTGCAGGATCTCCCTGCAACTCTAGGCCTCATCCCCACTGTTCCTAACACTTATGGTAATTACAGTTCATCGGGCGGTACTTCTCAGAAAAAGTTCCTCTTTGAATTTTTGGAACTTCCCACAAGGTAACAGTTGGATGAGGAACTGCTCAGAGGCGGCCGTGGAAGTGGCTGTCTGCCCACTGTTGGCACCCTTTCCGCAACCTCTCCTACCCCGGTCAGGCACCAGTCACTCACCTTGGACTCGTGACACTCGCCCTGAAATACCTCTCTGAGCCTGCCTATCTCATGCATCCCCTCTGCTGCCACCTGGTCCAGATGTATCATTTTAAGTCCGGATTTCCCTAGAAATCTCCTCACGTGGCTTCCCGTTTAGAGTATTTCTGCTGGGAAATCCATCCTGGAAGCCTCGTCATTCTCAACACTGCCTTCCTCGCCACTTCCCTGCTCAGAAACCTTCCGGGGCTCCCCACGTCCCCCTCTCAGCAGGCGTCAACTCCTCTTCTCCTGGCCCCGCCTCCTCATGTTTCACCTTTCTCACCCTGTCCAAGGTCAAGTCTTCCTGCCTAACCCGACCACGTGTCACGTGTTTTCCCAGTTCTCTCCCTTTCTCATGTTTCCCCACCCCTAGAAATCCAGGCTCTCCTCGCCAGATCCTAGCCACCCTAAGGCTCAGTTCAAATCTCATCTTAGTTTGAACTCAGCCTCTTGATTTCAGGTTTTTTGTTTTGTTTTGTTTTGTTTTTACACACAAGAGATTAAAACAACAGCAAAAAACAAAACACAGGTTAATCCAGGAGTTTCTTAAACCAGAAATACCAGATATATGCCTTTCCCCTTCAGGTGGGTACTTGAGAATTCTAACCTGGGATTTAAAGTGTGTGCAAACTAAGAATTTGACACACGGAGGATAGATGAAAATTTCCTTGCATCCATTTGTGGTTGATTCTTGCTAGGCTGAGTATAATGTGTGTGAATGACGAAAATGCAATCAAGTATGATTCCTAAAAGTAGTTAGGTGTATTTTCTCCTTTTGCAATGAAGAGCAAGTTCAGATTAATATAGATCTATGTTTATAGACAAGAAAAAATCATCTTTGTTTTAATAAATATTTGTTTAGAAATCAGAATCCATGCACCCCTATCATCACTGCAACATTATTTACGACAGCCAAGATTTGGAAACAGCCTAAATGTCCATCAGTAAACGAGTGGATAAAACAGCTATGGTACCTTTATACAATGGAACACTACTCAGCGATAAAAAAGAAGAAAATCTCACCATTTGCAACAGCATGGATGGACCTGGAGAACATTATGCAAAGTGATATAAGCCAGTCAGAGAATGGCAAGTACCATATGATTTCACTCATATGTGGAACCTAATGAACACATTGAAGTAATAAGCAAAGTAGAGACCGACTCATAGATGGAGAGCAGACTGACAGCTCTGGGGGTGGGGGGCTGAAGGGTAGAGGGACTGAGCAAAAAAAGAGAGAGAGAGAGAGAGAGAGAGAAAGAACTCACAGACACAAGCAATAGCATGGTGATTGCAGCTGGGAGAGGAGTGGGTGGTGATGGAAGAGGGTGTGGGGGAATGAATGGTGATGGAAAAAAAACCCAAACACACAGAAATCAGATCATGATGCACTCTTCAATAAAACAAATTTCCAGCCCTGACCAGTGGTTGGGCATCATCCTGCAAAGTGAAACTCATTCGATTCCCAGTGGGGGCACATGCCTGGGTTACAGGCCAGGTCCCCAGCGGGGGGTGTGCGAGAGGCAACTGATTGATGTTCCTCTCTCATTTCGATGTTTCTCTCCCTTTCTGTCTCCCTCCCTTCCCCTCTCTCTAAAATAAATAAATAAAATCTTCTAAAAATTTTTCAAAGGAAAAAAATCAGAATCTATGATATAATTTTTTTGTTGTTTAAGGAAAAGCTGTAAAACGGAAGTTTGGAAAGATATACACCAAATGGTTTTCTTTGGGTGGAGAAATTATTGGTGATTACCGCTTAGTAAAACACCTCCATTTTATTGAAACTTGCCAGTACAAGCAATTTCATTGTCATAACCAGGGAGAGATTTTCATTTTGGGAAAAAGCACAGAAACAGAGACATCAATTTGACACAAATGCAGATGGATCACTTTAGAGACAGTTCAAAATTGAATATTAAAAGGCCTTCTGTTTTGTTTTAATGTAGAGTGAGAGCTGGACAGGGCCCCATCTACAGGGAGATTCCGCAGATGGGGACTCGGCCATTGCCCTGTTTAAGGGTAAACATTATAAAAATAAACAAATGAGCAAAGTAATGGAATGTGATAGACAGGATGCCCAGGTAATTGCTATAAATGTTGTGTCCTTTTGTTGTTGCTGTTGTTGTCAGAGACCTAGAAAGGACTTTAACCTCAAGGTCTATTAATCTGGCTCCTGTCCCTGAATAGAGCTAGTGGCACTTCATGTTCTAAATCATAAATACGTGATTTGCGCTTTGTAGGTTCTTTCCATTAAGTTTGTTATCTCATCGTAAGAATGGGAAATGTACACAGGTGGGTGTCTAAACCTTGAGAATTTGACCTGCAGGTGGGAATGTTACCATATGGGAATTCACTTGAGTTCTTAGACTGCTGACTGGTCAGCCTCAGCCATGGTCCCTATAAATAACCTCAGGAGTGACGCCGAGTTCTAGATTCTAGCAAGATCCTTGACCATGAGGTGGATCCTGTTTTTCGGTGCCCTTTGGGGGCATATCTACTGTCGAGAAACATTTGTGGGGTAAGTTATGCTTTCTGACGCCTGTTTGAGTTTTGCTTACTTGATTCAGAGTCTCTCACAGAGAGACAATTCTACAATTCTGCAGCAGAATTGAGGGTGGAAGTGTTAAGCATTTTCAGAGAGTTCTCTTAGACTTGGAGAGGAGATAGTGGGGTTAATAGAAATGAATGATCAGAGAGAGAGAAAGAGAAGAGAGAGGAGAGATGGAGAGATGGAGAGAGGGAGAGAGGGAGAGAGAGAGAGAGATGAATGACATTTAAAGAAAAAAACAAAAATGAAAACTGAACACATACACCCTATTTCTCTCTGTACTTCCTCATTTCTTCCTCTTATGATCAGGATATAAGGATGAAAGACATGAGTGAAAATAAAGCTGTTTGGCCATTTAGCTCAGTAAGTGAATGGATTGTTCTCCCACCGCTTCCTCCCTGCCTTCCTGGCCTTGTCGGCTCTTGTCCTCCCCATCTTCGGACCTAGGGCCTGAGTAGCAGAACCTCACGAAGTGGGAAGACGAGGGCGGCAGATTTCAGTCCAACTCTGACTCTCACGGCTTTGTAAGATTCATCTTTGCTCCGAAGTCCTTTGCTCCAAGACTCTCTGAAGTGCTTTAGGTGGCATTTCTTGAAGAGTGTTTTAGAGAACTAACAAAGTGGTCAAATAAATCTGGCCCCTTAAAGTGGGTGGTCAAATAAACTTGGGAATCTTAGGGTTCAATAAACTATAGGATTTCCAGGTTTGTTTTTTTCTTTAACTAAATTAGCACGTGCTTTAAATCTATGAGAGGAGTTCTAGGTTACTGCATCTACCCAATATTTTTGATCATAAAACTCTTCCTCGCTTTTTTTTACATGCGGATCAACTCAGCATTCAAACAGCTACTGTTCCTTAGCACACACACCAGGAAATATCAGCCTAATGTATTAACGTTTCCCAGTGCCTCTCCATTTTTAAGGAGGACTCCTGGGAGTAAAGGCATTAGTCAAAAAGAATGAGACTCAAATGGAAGAATTTTCAGACCATCTGTGGCAGGTGGGTGCTTGAAGGCAGGAGGGCTTTGCATATCTCATCCTATCACATGTATTCCACTCGAGTTCATTGGAAATTGCGTGGCACTTGGTTTCAGAAGACCTGAATTCTCATCCCTGTGTACGACTGTATGGCTCTTCGTACACATGAACAAGGCAGTCAGCCCACTTGGAGAAAGAGATAGAGGAGAAACATCTGTCCCCAAGGAAGAGTTATGAGCATCCCGCTCTACTACCCAACTTTTTACTAAGGACATGTGTTTGCAACTTCTTTTTCCTGCCGAGTATTCCTGGATATCCTTTATTCCCTCCCCACGATGTGTGTGTGGGGGTGGGGGGAGGAGAGAGAGGCACGCTGGGATTTTTCTGGGTTCCAGTTGTGCCTAGCTACGCCCCAACTTGGGGCTACACACATCTTATTCGGAGATGGAACTCTGATACATTTGAGATAACAACAGCAAAACAAACACACAAACAAAAACACCCCCACCCCCACCCCCACCATTCTAGGTCTCTCCAGATGTGAATTCAATTCCTCTTCCAAGCACCAAACTAATTATTCTACTTCAAAAGAAAAACAAAAACAAAAAAACCCCGTATTTCTGAAAAACAGGAACAAACAAGTTTTAAAAGCCAGTTCTTTAATGAGCCGCAGGTGTCATTTGAGAATAATCATTAGCTAAAGGAAAGGTAACTTGAATGTCAAGCTTCCTGCTAAGAGCAGGTATCCCTCTTAATTATTATTTAGATAACATACCCTTGGGGGGAGTAAAGCCATTCTATCAACTGCTCATTCTGAGGGTGTGGGTCAGTATACCGTTTATTAGTTTCCCGATGGTCAGAGAGGTTACTGGCTCCTGCATTAACCCCCCGGCACGAGGAGCCGAGCCGGGGCAGACAGCAACAGGAAGCAGGGTCCGGGTTTCGCTCTTTAAGGTCATGCCTGTGGTTATTATTCTTTAGAGACCAAGTTCTTGAGATCATACCAAGGAATGAAGAACAAATGAAAACTCTGGCGGAACTGGAGGCTGAGGAAGATCTTCAGGTATCTGTCCCAGAGGGACGGCTCCACAGGTAGCTGTGACAATCGCTACCTCTCACTTCGGATCTGCTCGTCTTCTCCGACTGTGTGGGAGGCCAGCTCGTGAAGCTGGGGTGCAGAACGCCTGGGCTCTTGTCCCAGCTCGGGGACACGGGGCAAGTCACCCACGTTTCCTGTGTCTCATTTTCCCATTGAGTCTAATGAGAATAAACAAACCATTCTTCTATCTCATAGGCTTATTGTAAGAATGAAAAGAGAGATTGAAGTTACTTTGAAAAAGTTCTGAACACTTTTAACGCATTATTTCCTTCCTAAAATAATTTATAGTATAACATTGTTATACAATGAATTAGATCACTTGAATGTCAACTGTTAAAAAAAAAAACCTGCCACAGTTTTAAATACTCTGTTCTTTCTGCCCATTTTAATAGCTAACTACGGTGGGGTGGTTATAAAACATATGCCAATGCTTGGCTATTTAAAACCTTTCTTGCAAAATTACAGTGATTCCACAGTGATTCCAGTCTTGTGGGCGTGAGATGAACTAGACAGGAATTGACTTCTTGAAATCTATCAGTGCGGAGCTGTCCATGCCTCTGACATGACCCATTCACTGCCTGGGCCTTTTCTCCCTTTCAGCTCGATTTCTGGAAATCACCCACCACACCAGGGGAGACAGTCCATGTCCGAGTGCCCTTTGTCAGTGTCCAGGCAGTGAAGGTTTTCTTGGAATCCCAGGACATTGCTTACTCCATCATGATTGAAGATGTTCAGGTAATTACCCCACAGGGCACCCTTCCAGAGTCTTGCTGGTCCATTTGAACAGAGGACCATCCTCTTTTGTCCTCAGGGACCCTCCGCCAGGGAAGGACCATCAGGGATGGGTGTGCGCCATCCCTGCAGAGTGGGCAGGGAGGCCCTGCCCCTCTCTCTTTTGCGTTTGGCCCCGACGGGATGTGGTAATAAAGAGTTTAAGGGCAAGGACAAGAGAGTCTCCAGCATGAAATGTAAACGGCAAACGGATGGGTATTAGTCAAAGTAGGTAAAAGTAAGATTTTATTCACCTAGCTTTTAATTGGAGGTTACCTTAGGCCCTGTGTCTGACCATGGGGCATAGATGTATTGGCCGCTGTATGAGAAGGCACTTTCTGAACAAAAGATGAGGCAGTCAACTCCACAGCCTATAACAGAATTTATCATAGGGTAGTTTACTTCCAGGAAGATTGGGCCAGAGCAGACAGAAATATATCCCAGGAGATTTGCGCAAATTACTCCCCGCTACCAGACCCCTGTTGCTGTACTGTGTGTGTGTGTGTGTTGTGTGGTGTACTAATGATTGACAGGACAAAGAAACAAAGAATGCTGTAGCTCCAGGGGCCACACCTCCTGGTGGTTTGTGATCAGTGATGTTCAACCAGTGTGCTGCACGAATTTTTAAAACACAGGCTACCCGACCGTTTTTTAGTCAGGGGCACTGACCTCTTTTCCTTTAGCCTGTCACATAAAAAAAAATGACAACAGCCAACACAATGATAGCCATCCGGTGTGGATGGATCAAAATTATACCTATTTTTTTTTTGTCGCATTGGCAGAAAACATATTTTCTGATGTGCTGCGGAATGTTAGTAATTAGTTCCTGGGCGCCACGAGATGAAAAGGGTTGAGAATCGCTGGGATAGGTAATTATTTATAATCGACACTATTACCAGTTTGATATTGATCCTGGTTGTCGTGGCGTGCCGGCTGTTCCTAATGAAAACATTCACAGCTACATTTTAAGGAACACAGACAGCCATCAACTAGCAAGCTCTGGTATGCCTGTTAAGGACTGTGAAGGTGGTCAAAGGTCACAGCGTGGAACTTAAGAAACGAAGTGAAATCTGGGACACAGAGATGGAGATGGTGGTGTTCACATCTCCATCTCTACAGCCTGGGTTCCCACGGAGGGAGGAGGAGCCATGAGATAACCAGGGGACCGGCTGTCATCCTGTATTTGCAGCATCTGGCTGGCCAGAAGCCCCACGAATGCCCCGTAGTCTTTCAGGGTGCTGCCGGAATGAGGCAAAGGCATGGCCCCAAAGCCTATAGGACAGGAAAAGGGATGCTTGGGACTGTGTTGAGCAGATGCAAGGGCACTGCTATCAGCTAATCGCAGGTATGATTGGTTTGTCTTAGGTTCTGTTGGACAGAGAGCATGAAGAAATGTTATTTAATCAGAGAAGAGAACGGAATGGTAACTTCAACTTTGAGGCTTATCACACCTTGGAAGAGGTAGGTGTTTCTAAAAGAACCTCTGAGAAATGGGCCCTTTTCTCCTCAGATGACAAAACCCATATTTCCCCTCGGTGACTTAATGGAAATGAGTCTCTCATTTCCTAACTCCTCCAAGTCTCCCAGCATTTCACAGCCGGTATGAAGTGTCACGGCCTTAAGGCACGACCTCCAGCCCACCTGCCCGTCCCAGCAGCCATCCCACGGTTTTCCAAGCAGCCGGAAGTGTCTTAAGCGAGCGCACGAACAGCCTCCCGTGGCCGACCGTGCTCTCTGCCCAAGGCCCCCTCGCTGATTTCTGGCGGGTGCTGCCTACGAAGCCATTTGAGAGCTGTGCTTCATGCTGTCACTGATGATAGAATCAGGGGACGCCTCTGACACCTCTGACTTCCAGCCAAGGGCCTGGTCTCCCACCCGCCCACGGCTCCCCCGCCTCACATCCGTGCTGTCTTTCCTGAGTTTTGCTGGAGTGATAACACCCCTTCCTCCCCGCGAGTCACACACTGACACCTGGGCACCCGGACAAGTCCGCACAGAACTTTTCCTGAGCCCACGGGGGCCTATTTGCACTGGCTGACTTGGGGGTGAGGGACGGAGGGGAGGGGCACGAGCAGATGGGAGTTGGGGGCCTAAGGGCGCAGGCGGGGAGCAGGAAAGAGCCATAGAGGAGGTTTTGGTAGGTGCTGATTCCCCAGAGCAGGAGTTATAAAATGCAAAAAAAAACCCTCCGAAAACAAAGCCCCCCCCCCGCCAATTTATTTGGTGGCACAACCTGACCTAAACTCATATGGGGGGGGTTATAAAATCTGACCTGGACCCACTTGCTACTCATTTGTGTCACTGCCAGAAATACCAGTGTATGTGAATATGGAGCAGTGTCACCGGTATAGTATATACACAGTGCACACTCTCGACCTTCCTAAAATCCGCCCCCCCCCCAAAATAAACCCCTTAATTTGAAAAAATGCGTACGGCCTCCAAGGATTTCAGATCAGGGGTGGTGGGTCGATGCAGCGAGGGAGAAGAGGGAGCACAGCCTCTCCCCCGCGGGCCCCGCAGAGCGGCGCGTGTCCCGCGCAGAGCCGACGCGGGCAACAGCTGGAGGAGCTGTGCTCCTGCTGTTCGCGCCCCAGACACGCCCAGGCACGTCTCGGTCCCGGCGACGGCTGCAGCCGGCGCCCCAGCTGCACCGCATTTCAATCAACTTTGCAAACTGGAGGCGACGTAGCTGCTGACATGTGCCTCCGAGGCGAGCACCCTGTCGCCCGGGCCCGAACCAGCCCCGCTGCCTTTTGTAATGCCGGTCTCCCCTCTAAATGCCACTTTTCGTGTGTGTGTGTGTGTGTGTGTGTGTGTGTGCGCGTGCGCGCGCGCTGCTACCATTTGTGTTCCTCTGCTAGTGAGCGCGAGCAGCTTTCTGACCCGGGCAGTTGCACGCCAGAGCTGGGCGGGGAAAGCCACAGGCAAGCCAGGAAAGTGCCATTTTGTTTCCAGCACAAAACTGGAAAGAGCCGGATCCGCAGCCGCAAAATGGCTTCCCGGGCTCCAGCCCCTGCAGAGGCCTGGGGGCTCGTGTCTCAGCTCTGATCCAAACGTCCCCAATCCCACAGCATCCGTCGCGCTGCCCTCTCTACTTTGTCCAGGGGGGATGAAAAAGGAGGGAGAGGGACATCGCGAATGGGTGCATCAGGTTATTCATTTGCAAACGTCTTATTTATTCATCTTAAACATTGCAGATTTCCCAAAAAATGGATGACCTCGTGGCTGAGTACCCCGATCTAGTGAGCAAAGTGAATATTGGTTCCTCTTTCGAAAATCGGCCCATGAACGTGCTCAAGGTACACACAGGTGCACGCGCCCAGAGCCTCACGCTCTCGGGCGGGATCTCAGTGCCGGCTCAGCCTGCAGAGCGTCCCCCCATCTCGGGCCCCCACCCTCGCCCCCCGGTCCCCGGTTCCCGGTTCCAACCGGTCCTTGCTGGTTTGGAGTATCCACCTCCGCACCCCCACCCCCGCCCCTTTTTCCTTTTCTCCTTCCTGTGCCGACTGACGCAGGTCTGCAGGAGTGAACTAGAGCTCTCATCTCGGGAGATTGGCTCGCAGGCGACCGGAGAGCAAGGCGCTAATAGGAACCGAGGGCTGGGGAGGCGGTGCGGGGGCCCGGGGTGGCTGGGGGGGAAGAGGTGAGGTATTCTGCAATAAATCAAGCTGGTAGTTCTGCGCCCCCCTTTTCTTTCCTCTTTCTTAAAAACAAAAAAAAGATCCCGAGAGATTTTTTTTTTTTAAGCAGTGAAGCCAGAGAGCCGCATTTCGAAAAAGAGTTCCCGCATTAAAAAGAGGGTTCCCGCAGTGGGCGAAAGGGGGACAGGCAAACGGAAATGCCCCCGAACAGGGCCTTCTGTAGGTATTCCAAACTGTTACCTCCAACAGAGATTTCAAGTTTTTTCACCTTGCCCTGAAAAAGAGAGAGAGATTTCCTAGAAAGAGTTTGTTAAGGAAAAAAAAAAAAAAGCAAAGAAAAGAAATGTCACAACTCCCTGCTAAATTTGGAAACGTTATGGCTGAGAACCAACGGACTCAGGACAGATGGATTTCTCCAGAATGTTTTCCTCCAAGAAGGCCTGAGAGGAGTGGTTTGCCAACTTATTGACACTGGGCCACATTTGCTAACATTCGCTACCTTCTTTTAAAAAATTTCCTCCTGCCTGTTTCTCCTGCAGCTGGGTCAGGAAACCGCAGCTCCCCCCGCTCGCTCCCCGCCTTGGATTTTCCTGGCCTTCCCTTCTCCAGGGTGGTTTGTGGTTGAGAATGTTATGTGTTTTTGAAAGTTCCCTGCTTTTTGCATTTGAACTCTTTGGAGGAAAAGGCACAGAATGTTTTGAGCAAAAAACTCTCAAAACCCATGAAATGTAATCTTTAGCAAGGATTTTCATTTCTCATTTACCTTATCTCCCATGTTTAGAATGCTGCACGGAGCTGGAAGTTGATGGTGCAAAAATAATCTTTTCTCCCCCATTTACTGATCCAGTTGGCAAAGCCGCTGCTCCAAAGAAAACTAAGTCACTTGGATCATAAAATTTCAGCTCTGGAAGGCACATTCAGAGCTTACCATCCTGTTATTATGAAGGGCTCCACAGGTTATCACGAGCATTTTTATTACAAAAATAGCACAATCATTGTAAAAAATTGGAGAATAGAGAAACAGACCAAAAAAAAAAAAACAGAAAAGAAAAACATCCCCATATTCCCAATTCCACAATTATGGAGTGGTAGCTATTAACATGTTGCAGTGTATCCTGCTTCCTTCTCTTTTCCTCTCTTTCACTCTTTGGGCATCTACATACATGCACATGAATTAGCATTTTTAAAAAAATAAAAATGGCATCGTACTATTCTATAACCTGTTCTTCAAAATTTACAACATACAATGAACATATTTCCATGGCATTACATTATCTGCTGTGATTTTTTTTTTACAGACATGAGAAAAGAAAAGGTATATGCTCTCATTACCCTGCAGTTAAGCTTGCATTAAAGGAAGGGGCCCACCAGAATCACGGGGAAGTGAGAAGAGTTAATAGGTGCTTCACTGTCTGCACCTCCTCCTCCTCACTCAATCACATGGAGTGCAGAAAGATGGACAGACAAGGCCCCGGGTAGAAGAGGAGGGACTGGGGGTCCGCAGTGGTTGAGTGTTCACATTTCCATGTTTCTTTTGCAGTTCAGTACCGGAGGAGACAAGCCGGCCATCTGGCTAGATGCTGGGATCCATGCTCGAGAGTGGGTTACACAAGCGACTGCACTGTGGACAGCAAATAAGGTCATCTTGCCTAAAAGTCCTTGATTATTTTGTCTTTCTGGGATCAGATCCTACCTAAGCATGCGACAGTCCCTGTGGCCCCAAGGGCTCATGCTCTCAGCCCAGTAGCTAACTTCTCTTCCCACACGGGCGGGAACAGACCCACTGCCGCTTTTTTGGTATTGCCCCAGCCAAGTACCCTGGCACTGTCCCTCAGGCAGGCCACCATGTACCTGTGAAAAGACACAGCGAGCTGGGAGAGATTGAAAGGGTAGCAAAGAAAGACCCCCGGGAGTCAGACTTCAGCATAAGATTGGACAAGAGAAAAATTGCTTTGCTGCCTTGAATTCCCAGGGCTGAGGCACAGTGTGCTAGAAATCTATAAAATCACGGAAGGGGCTCAAGATGGGAAATATATAAACAGGTGCGGAAAGATTTTACTTTGACCTGCAGATCCAAAGTGGAATTAGTAAGGTGTTTTGGTGGCTCTGAAATGTTTCCAAATCTGATTTTTGAAGTCAGGGTGTAGCTGTGCCTCTCTTCCACATGTTCATTGGAACTGGAGTCAGGACACCAGGCTGGGTATGACCTCGTCTGGTATTTCTTAAGTAATTCAAAAATGACACGCTATAAATCAGAATGTTAATTCACGAGCAAAGGAAATCAATCCACATCAGATCATTCAAGCATGTGCCACCACGTGCACACTGACTGATACATTTTTTCCCTTCAATTAAAATGCGGTTACCTTTAGGGTATTATGAAATGGATATTTAACAGTTGAATAATAATGCTTTAGGATGACTGAGCACAGGAAATGAGTAAATTTTAATCCAGCAGAAACTTCAACTCGACTGCAATTGATTGCAAGTAGAAATTTAATTCCTCAAATGGAATTTAACTGTTTCTCTGAATCTGTCGGAAAGTCTCCTCCACATAGTTAAGTTATCTGATGTTGGTCATGAGATCTTGGGAAACTATGCTGTGTGGTGATTAAGAAAAAATGTAAACAGTTCCTTGGTTTGTAGATCCCTATAAGCCACCGACACCATTGCCTACCATTGCAGAATTCCTCGCCAGAATTAATAGGGAGCATTCTCCTGCTTTTGAGAGAACATGGATAAGTAGTATCTGATTTTTAGTTAATATAAGTAAATTATTCTAACCAGAAATAAAAGTATAGGCATTGGCCTATGAAACACATTAACACGGCCGGGGATTAGAGCGAGTCCTGGAAGACTTTCATTGGCTAGCAGTGATATCTCATTCACATTTGGAAAAAACACCTTGCCGTACTATTCCGTCCCGTATGCCCTGGTGAAAGGAAAGTATGAGCTTGGCCTCTGTGTTGTTGTCTCTGCTCAGATTGCCTCTGATTATGGAAACGATCCATCCATCACATCCATTTTGGACACAATGGATATCTTCCTGCTGCCCGTCACAAACCCCGATGGATATGTGTTCTCTCAAACCAAAGTAAGCCTGGACTTTTTCTCTTCTTAGAACAGGAATCGAAGGAGCTGTGTAGGATCTTCGAAAACAAGATAAAAGTAATCTTTCTGTCCTTGATTTACCCTAAACAGAATGCTTCATCTCTCCATAGTGGCCCCAAACGGAGGCGTGCAGTGGAATTTATAATCACTTATTCCAGCACATGATGTCTTCACATATTGCCTCCGTCAGAGCCTTATTTCAGCTGTTAGGCTGGGCTGTTAGAGTTCAGCGTTCGCAGTGAGTCACCTAGGAGATTTGTTCCAATTATCTCTGTGTTTTTGTGGTAGGATTGATAGAAAAGAGGGGGCGGATGTTACCTGCTGACAATTAGATTTGCAGTGGGATTTAGGTAGGCAGTACAATACATCTAACATTTTGCTTAAAATCTGTAGAAGAAATCCTCTGGAGTATTACTAAAAGGAGTTAGGTGTGTGTGTGTGTTTTTTTTTTCTTTTTAAAATCTCATTACAAAACACCATTGTGGCAACCGTGACCCCATGTATGTTCAAAATGAGTGAGAGTTTCAAGTTTATTTTTGGAGAGATCTGACTACAATAGCGTTTTTCAATGTGTTTAAAAGGAACTCGTACAAATTCTAGTACTCATCTTATGAGATACCCTGTGAATAAAGGTTCCACGCTCAAGTTTGGGAAATATCGTCCACTGTATCTTTCTCTCTTGGATTTTCATTAAAAAAAAAAAAAATCAGAGCGTTAAAAGACCCTTAGAAGTTCTAAAGTAAATCAGCCAGCTGAGCTCTATATTTTCCCAAAATATTCTGTCACAAAACCCTCGCTCCCTCCCCACTCTTTGAGTTTTTGTTGTTGCCATTGAATAGCACTGGTGTTTTCCGGAACACGGTTTGGCAGGTCTTCATTTGAGGAGACAGGAGAAATGTCTACTTTTCTGTGTGTGAGACAGCTTAGAAGCTCCAAGCACAACTCTGTGTGAGGACCGTTCCACACCTCTGTGGGGAGGGGAGTTCGTGCAGCTCCAAAGGGCCTTCCGGAGGGGTGGGGGGACATGAACAAAATTCTAAAGAGACCTCCTCATCAGGCTGAATGAGCGCTCCCCCCCACCCCCATTCTCTTTTGTTTGGATTTTAAAGAATCGCATGTGGCGGAAGACCCGGTCCAAAGTATCTGGAAGCCGCTGTGTGGGTGTTGATCCTAACCGGAACTGGGACGCAGGTTTTGGAGGTGAGCGCCCCGGGACTTGCCTCCAGGGACGGTCAGACGTTGTCTGGCCCGCTGGCTGTTTTGCATGGCTCTGCAGGGCTGTCAGCCTGCTAAGCCCATTCAGGATTCAAGCCATTTAAAAACCTATTTGAAAAACACTTAACTGAATTCCCTTCACAGGCACGCAGTGCTGTCACAGAGCTCTGAGCAGCATTTAATATATTTTGTCTCACATCTTGGTTTTCCCACAAGCTGTAGCCGCCCCGGCTTCCGAGCTCTCACAGCAAGCCATTGCGCAATGGAGGGAAGCCGCCGGGAGCCCCGAACCAACCACTAGAGGGGGTTAGCATCTATTTGGAAGAGAAGCATTACATCATCTATGGATGCTTCGAGAAAGAAAACTAAAGTACAAGTAGGATTAAGAAACTGATTTTCAACATAGATTCAAAAGAGAAAATACTAGCTTGCTGCTCTGGCTCTGTTGACGTGCAGCTGTAATTTTTCGGAGTTCAGTGGCAGTCTGGTCGGGGCACGGCTTTATGCTTTCAGGCATCAGTTAGAACCCCTCCTCTCTCTCTCATCCCAGAATTGCAATTTGTTTGGTTTTTCCTCAGAAGGTACGGTAACAGTGAGGTGAGAAACTTGATCTCTTCCACTGCAGTTTTCCTAACACCTAGCACAGTGTCTGGAACAGAGAAGGCAAATCACTAAGTATTTGTAAGACAAATAAATTAGCGAGACTCATGGAACCCAGAAAGAACACACTAGGGACTCACGACAGGATACGGATGAATGGCCACTTCTTCATTCATCAATTTTATCGATTTTACAATAGTTTTCTTTTTTTTTAGTGTAGGGAAAAAAATCAAAACATCAGCTCCTCAATAATGTTGCCCTTATAAAATAATCCTAAAATAAAGCTGACAGGCTATGTTTATCCTTTGTTCATATCACTTAGAGACCCTCGGAAGTCCCGGGCCCTGCCCACGCCCTCAGAGTGTCTCTGGCGTTGTAGCCCTGGCCAGGCCACTGTGAACCACCTTCAGTGGTTATGGGTCATTCTAGTTGCTGAGGAAATCAAGGCCAAAGGTGGCCTTGTGGTCAAAAGGGCTTGTGATTTCCCCACTGTAGAAGGGGCGTCCGAGGTTCCCTGCATCTGTGGTTTTGTGACTTGGAGGTACAGATGCACAGCCTCTTCTACTCTTGGACTCGAAGAACTGGAAGGGATCCCAGAAAATGAACTTGCTTAACTCCCACCCAACGCAGGAATTTCATCTATAATATTAAACCTAGTTTTCCTTCCAATAACTCCCACAGAGAGGAGATGATCTAATTTGATAGCTCTTTTTGCCATATAGAAGAACCGTATTTTAAAGGATGTCCAGAGTCACTTCAGTTTGACTTCCTGACTCTGACATTCTTGCTCTGATTTCCAGAGGAGGAGCTTAGTGATGTGTGGTAGTTGGCTTCACACAGTGTCTTCTGAAATCTCACTGTTCTCTTTGCGCTTCTTCTGCATGCCATCAGGACCCGGAGCATCCAGCAATCCTTGCTCTGATTCATACCATGGACCCAGTGCCAACTCCGAAGTTGAAGTGAAATCCATAGTGGACTTCATCAAGAGTCACGGAAAAGTCAAGGCCTTCATTACCCTCCACAGCTACTCCCAGCTGCTGATGTTCCCCTATGGGTATAAATGCAGCAAGTTAAATAACTTTGATGAGCTGGTGAGTTTCTGAAACTTCATGTCAGCTCAGCCACCAATATCCATTGTGCAGACGAATAAGTTGCAGTCCTAAAGTTAGGAGCCGAGATGGGAGTGCATGGGGGAGGGACAGGTTATAAAGATGAATGAGGCATGATATGTCCAACCACTGAGAAAACTGTGATGTGGACTTTCCTAAATGAGGTTTCCTTAGGAAATAGAATTCACAAAATTATTATTGCCTTCATGTAGATGAGCAAGACCCTGATTTGAACATAAATTCCCAGGATGTGCTTTCTGTTGCTTAGGAAATAACCACTTGGATTTGGCCCTGAGGCTCTCGGATCTAGTGTCAGGTGCTCTGTGCCGATTTCCAGCTCCTGGCCTAGTACCTTCCTGCTGCCCTCAGCTCTATGACCCCGCCGTCATGGTGCACTGGTGTTTGACGTTGGGCGTAACACACTCACTTCCCTAACTTCGATATCCTCCATTGTCTTTCCTGTTTGAGGGATACGTGAAGTGGTAGCAGCCTCAAGTCAGACGGTGACATCTCAGGTGGCTGCTTACAAATGACCAAGAACTATCCCCAGCTGCAGAGCATGTGCAAATATTTCCAATTTGGCTTTTAGGCTTAATTTTTGAAACCTGTGTGCTAGAGATAAGCCCTGAGATGCGACCTTTTGGTTAATTTACTTTCAAATACATTATTGTCAACAGCTCCTGGCAGAAATGGAATAGATTATTCCAATTCAGGTGTATCTTTCATCCCATCAGTTGAATTTTTGCACTGTGGGGCAGTTTTCAGGGTTTTGTTGGTGTGTCAAGGTTGAGTCGGGGAAAGAGAATGTCAGGGTTGAAAAGAGCCTAAAAGGTACTTTTAGTAGATCTAGATCACCTTAAATTATCCACACCTGGTGCTCGAATCTCTGCCAGATAGTTGTTCATCCTGGGATTGGACGGTTTCCTGGCTTTAAGGACCTATTCCAAGTTGGGGCATATTTGATTGTTTGCTCTCTTCCTTAGAGAGAGCCAAACCAACTCCTTATGGTTTTTACCTGTCAGCCCTGATTTATTGTCGGGCTCCATGGAGCACGTTTATTTCTCTTTGAGAGGCAAATCCACTAGCAACCTGCCGCTCCCAGGTTTTTCTTATCTCCACTATTGCAAATACCGCTAGTTCTTCCGGGCCCTCATAATAGGGTCCCAAGTTTCCATAACACTCGGCTCGCTGTGTTCCAAACGTGCTTTGGTTTGCCTGTGTACTTCAAGAGTAGCTCCCAGAAGTGGATGTAAAGCTCGCGCTGAGGGTTAACTAGCACAGCGGAGCGTGACCATAACCGCCCTCAACCGGACTGAGCTCTTCTGCTCACGCAGTTGAGGGTCAGTTTATTGGCAGGAGCCCTGGCCTGTTGACTCACGTTGGGCTTATTGACAACTGAAACCCCCGGGCTCTCCGAGGAGTCTGCCGAGCCAGGTTCCCCCCATCTGGTAATTGTGCAGTTGTTTTCCTGGACCCGAGTTTAAGACCTGACATTTATCCCTAGCGAGGATAGTAAAGCCTCAATCAGTCAAAATTGGAACCCTCAAATAATGGAAAATATTTTGCTGAGCTCTACTTCTTGGAAAAAGAGACAATCACAGGGAAATAAGCCAATGTAAGGATGTAGCAAAAAAAAAAAATCACCTTTCTAGGGAAATCCTAGGGTCAGTACACATTCTATTACGGCCCTTACTCCATCCCCCAGCCCCCGGCCCCTCCCTGCCCATTTCTGTCCAGAGCCCTGAACAAGAAGTTTGTGGCAGAATAATAACCCCGGTCATTATTAATCCAAATGTGCGGATGATCAAATAAACAATGAGGGTGTCCATGTTGTATTTTAAAAGCCAACAGAAGTGACCTGTGCTTACTGCTCAGTGAAAATGGCTGAAACATAAAGGGCGCTGTGCTTATTCCTCAGTTAATGAGAGAGTCGGTCAGTCAGGGTGTCCCCTTCGGCATTCTGCTCTTCGGCGTCTGTTCTGTTCTTCCAGGAGATGAGTGTGACCCATTCTCCTTTCCTTGGTTCTCTCACTCCAGAATGAAGTGGCCCAAAAGGCCGCCGAATCTCTGACAAGCCTGCATGGCACCAAGTACAAGGTGGGACCTATCTGCTCAGTCATCTGTGAGTATCTAATGTGTCTGTACAAATGATGCACTGAGATAGCCGGCACCATGTGATTTGGGGCCAAAGCGTTTAAGTGGATGATGTAAAATGGATGCCCCTTCATGCACGAGACCCAGCCTTGTCCAGGGTCCCTCAGTGAGGCCGGGTCTCCTCCCTGACATATTTCCTGCGTGATACCGACAACAAAGAACTTCCAAAATATGGCAGTTGTGTGCTCTCTGCCCTGCTTGTCCTGATCCTTACTGCACACTCTTAGCGTGTGAAATCTGTGCCTGAAAACAGACCTTCGCCAGACCCTGGTCCTAAATCATCACTTTTATTAATGACACTTATCTTGGCCAGACTTCCTGAGATCCCCCCCTCCCCCACGGTGGCCTGGGATAAAAATAAGAAATGTCTGCAGTGCTGTGGGAAAGCCCAGTGCACCCTCATGCAGATTCTGAATCCCCCAAAGGCATCCCTCCAGTTCCTATGGACACAGCCAGAAACTCGAGGCCTTGGGAGTGAATGCCCGGAGTTCCCTAGTGTTCCCCTGGCCATGATCCTTTGGAAACAAACGCTTCTTACAGGCACCCACTCTGTTCAACACACTTCTATTAAGCATCTTCTAAGCGCTAATCATTATGCCGAGTACCAGAAACATAATGAACCACAGAGTCCTCACTTGGATGTGGGAGATGAAGAAGAAGTCAGTGAACTTCAGTATGACATGTGCAGTAGCCTGGAAATGCTCCAGAAGTATTAGAAAGTTGGGGGGATCTGGCAGTGGCAGAGTCAGGAAAAGTGTCATGTAGGGAGAGGGCAGGGTTTTGAGGGCCGATCCCCAGAGAGCTAGAGAAGGGAACGAGGGATGGGGCCCTCTGGCCCCTTCACAGCACGTGCAACGGTGCAGAGGGATGAAGCTGGATGACGGGCCCTGGGAACCACACGGAGGCTTGGGGCTGCTGGAATGAAAGTGGTAAGAAGGGGAGTAGGGGCGTTCAGGGTTTCATGTATGTACCACGCTAATGAGTTTAGGTTTTGAACCTGAAGGATTCTGGAAGCCTCTGGGGAGTTTTCAGCAGGGCATGGAGCATGTCGAGGCGTTGTGTTTTAATTTAGGCAAAACATTTTAGTTTCAGTGTGGCGGATGAAGTGATAATGGACTGGATGTAGGAGCATCCCATTGAAAGAGTAGGAAGAGCTCTGGAGAGAGATGCTCTCCAACCAGGGCAGTGAGGATGGGAGGGAGACATTGAAGAGGGAAAGCCAAAGGTTTTTGCCATGAATTGGATGTGGGGAGTTTCTCACCGAAGGACATTGCCTGGCACCATTAACTAAGGGAGACATCCAGGAAGGTGAAACGGGTAGGGGTTGGAAAGATAGTGAGTTTAGCTCTAGAAATACTGAGTTGTTTTTTTTTTTTAAAGATTTTATTTATTTATTTTTAGAAAGACGGAAAGAGAGGGAGAGAAAAATCAATGTGTGGTGGCCTCTCACACACCCCCTACTGGGGACCTGGTCCACAACCCAGGCATGTGCCCTGACTGGGAATTGAACCAACGACCCTTTGGTTCACAGACTGGCACTCAGTCCACCGAGCCACACCAGCCAGGTCTTGAGGTTGTTTTCAAGTGGGGATGCCCTGCAGGCTTTGGGCTGCATGGCCCCGACATTCTGCAGAGAGAAAGAGAGAGAGAGATTCGGGGATGGTTGACACAGAGAGGAAGGTTGGTACGAGACAGCAGGAGCAGGAAGAGCCATGGGTTGGGGAGGGGAGTGAGACGTTAGGAGATGAGGTTAGTGGTCAGGGAGGGGGCCGCAGCACTGCTGGGCATCGCGGAGACAGAGCTCCACGTTCAGCAATTGTTGGACGGGAGGCAGCGTTCAACAACGACAAAGGCCACAGAAAGGCTAACTATTACAAGGACAGAATGTTTACCATTGGATTTTCATCACTAGTGTTAAAAAACAAAATTCAACTGAGTAAATTTGAAGATCTAATGGGCTTTTTAAAGCAATTCATGAATTGAGCAGCATCCCATCTCGCAACCAAAAGGGCACTCTGGGGGTTGTACAGAATGGAAGATTTTACAGGCAGAAAGAGGGTGGACCAAGAAGTTAAGAGCGGATTATTTCTGGCAAGGACACCTTTTCTTAGGGGAAGGCAGGGGGTCTCACCAGGTAGATTAACTCACTGGTGTGGGTCAGGAAATTCCAAGCTGATTTGTTTAAAATGCCACTCCTGGGAGAGGCTTAAACTGCAATTAGGTTAGGTATTAAATCTAGGTTTGGTGTCATGGGCTTTTAGCACAAGTGATGCCATTTTGGGCCTGTGGTTTTCTCTTTTTTAACACTAGTGTGGGGGAGGAAGAAATTTTCCTGTATCCTCAAGGTTCTTTCAGCTGGTTTAATAAATAGACATGAGGCAGATTAACAAGAGAAAATGACTGAATTTAATTACATACATATATATATGGGAACCCCATATCCATGAGAGGTTCAGTGGCAGAAAGGGAAAGTTTAAATAGATGCATGCAGAAGGTTATTGTGGGACAGTATGAGCAGATGTTCTGTAAACTAAAGTGTGCCCTGCCCTATAGATAAGTCAAAAAAAGAAAAAAGGTTATCTCTGATAATCTTTAATTATGGGTAAGGCCCCTAATTTATATTCTTCTAGGTAGTTAAGTAGGGGAGGGCAGAAGTTTCTCTTACTCCCACAGGGTCCTGGTTGCTTTTAGCTCAGAACAGTCTGCATACCGCACAGGCACATCTTGGGGTAACTTGTTTTGAACCCCTACACGAGCTTATTGGTGACCGTGACAGAGAAGTTTCTGGAGCGGGGTAAGAGGAGCTGAAGGAGCCCTGGGGTGGGGGAGAGGCTGCACTTGTGAGCAGACAGCTCTTTGGAGGAACCTGGATGTAAAGGGAAGGAGAGATAGGAATCAAGGATTCCTTTATTTAAAAAAAATTTTTTTTAAGTTTTTTTACATTTTATATTGCTTTTTTCCCATTACCATTTCTCCTATACCCATTATTACTGTTTTTTGGTTTTTTTTTTTAGATAAGAGACTTATTTACTGACTGGGGAAGGATTAAGAGAGGGAACTATGAAAGATGCAGGAGAAAGAAAGAAGAAATGACCAGTGTGATACTTTGCAGAGTGGGAGAGGAGCGGGGCAAGACAGGGACAAGCAGAGGTGGGCAGATCAGGCTTGAACCAGAGCGGAGTCTGTAGCCACATTGGGGGCAAAGTCAGCTGTCTGTACGAGGGTGGTGGCGGCAGAAATCTGAGGGTATGCACACTTAAGAGGCATGGTTTTCTTTCTCTTCATGTATTTTTAGGCAGAGGGGAAGGGAGAGAGAAAGAGAGGGAGAGAGAAAAGTCAATGTGTAGTTGCCTCTCATGCACACCCTACTGGGGACCTGGCCTGCAACCCAGGCATGTGCCCTGACTTGGAATCGAACCAGCGATCCTTTGGTTCACAGACTGGCACTCAATTCACTGAGCCATACCAGCCAGCGCCGAGGCATGGTTTTTTTTAACCATTGAAAAATAAAATTCAACCCTGTAACTTTGAAGATCTAATTGGCTTTACTAAGCAATTCATGAATTGGGCAGCATCCCTGGAAGGGCACTCTGGGGGTTGTACACGATGGATGGTTTTTATAGGCAGAAAGAGGCTGGACCAAGAAGTTAAGAGCGGATTATTTCAGGCAAGGACACCTTTTCTTGAGGGAAGGCAGGGGGTCTCACCAGGCAGGTCACCTCACTGGTGTGGGCCAGGAAATTCCAAGCTGATTTGTTTAAAATGCCACTCCTGGGAGAGGCTTAAACTGCAATTAGATCAGGTGTTAAATGTAGGTTTGGTGTCATGGGCTTTTAGCACAAGCGATGCCATTTTGGGCCTCTGCCTTTCTCTTTAACGGAGTCTTGGAGAGCAGAGAAGTAACAGTGTACGCATCCTATCTAGAACACTTCATGAAAATCCAGAAACTACTGATCTGGTGATATTTCAGATGATGACAGTTCTTTTTTTTTCCAGATCATGATTTTTCGTTTCTTTTTTTCTATTATGATGCATTTAAAAACTTCATAGAAAAACAGAATCCAATAACCAACGTCTTAATTTTCAGTTTCAATTTCATTAATGGTTTTGTCAATGGACACAAATACATTAATCCAGCATGTCCATATAAGAACATTCAAGCCTATAGAGAATTTTTACAGTAATTTATTTGAACCAAGCAGAGGATGCACCTGGAAGTGGAATCTCAACAGACTGAGCAAAATGCTTTGGATGATAAGAGTCTGCAGTTTCTTCCATGCGTTTGAGACTGAGGAGGGGGGTAAGGAAGGTCATGTAGAGGTGAGAGGAGGCAGGGTGGGTGGGGGGACGCGATGGTTCAGATGGATTACACGGGCCCTCTTGAGGGTGGTCCCGCTTAGAAGGAGGGGTTTGAAAGGTGCGTTAACCTAGATGCACAGGGTGGACTTGGCTTGCCCAAGGCAAGGAGAAGCCTTTTACGGCCCTGGGATGTGACTCCCCACCACGACCTGCCCCGTTAGGAATTTATGGCCAGATCACGCTGTGAGGTTACTCTCCGTAGATCCTCTTTCCCGCCCGCAAGCTGTCAGCCAGAGTTCCAGTGTGCGTCCAGATCTTTTCAGTTAGCATTATTTCCTGTATCATTTTATGTTTTTCCACTCTAGGTATTTGTTTTTCCCATTTTAGTGCTGTGTCCCGGTTACCGGGCCTTCGGATTGTTTTAACTTCTTGTGAAACATGCTACTGTGAACGCGTCGGTACAAGCCCCCCCTTTCTTTTAGGTCTCTCTGGTATAGCACCCCAAGGCGAGAATTCCAAGTCAAATAGAACGAACAGCTTTGGAGCTCATGCTGTCCTCTGGGAAGACTGAGCTGCCTACAGTGGCCCAGACCTTTGAAGCCACTCTCCACGTGGGACGGTCCCCCACTTTGGTGGGGGCACCTCTAGGGAGGAGGGCCTCCCGAGCCAAGGCCGCAGGGCCGACGGGCGCACGCTTCCTCCATGGGGCGGCCTGTGGGCAGAGGCCGGAGTTCAGAATGTCAGCAGAGTGGCCTCAGCCATTTTGTAACTGGGGATCCAGTTTCCCCCCCTCCTTAGCTGAGGTATTTACAAGTAAGGTGGACATAGGAAGGCTGAGGTTCGGTATGTTTTTCTTGGTAAGGTCACAGATATTGAAGACATTTTCAATAAGCAAATATCAGAGGAGTATAGGGTTTGCCGTCTGATATTTTTGGAACCTGACCATTAGTGGTCAAGCAAGTCCTGGCTGCACCTCTGCCCCGAGTCGCCGCTGTTATCTTCGATCCTGGTCTCATTCCAGCTGAGGCGAGCGCTGCCTCTGGGAACTAGTCCTGATGAAGTGCTTCTGGCCGCCTGCCCCGGGCTGGTATGCGGCCCTGGGCCGAGCACCTGCCTCACTCCACCCAGAGGCGGCTGGACTTCTGTGGTGGGCGAGACATTCCCCAGGCAGTTTCTCATCTGGAAAGGGCTGAGGAGCTCTGCCTCAACAGGTGTTTGTCCAGGAGGAGTTGAGACTTGAGTTCTTCCTCAGAGAGGGGTAGGGGACACAAACAACATAGACCTTGGGGACAGGGGAATGGAACCAAGTAACTTCGGGCAGGTTACTCATCCTCCCTTGGTTTCTTCACCTGTGAAGTGGGTTGTTGAGAATCTCAAAAGGTAGAAAGGAGGTTTAAAGTGTCCACTAACTCGAAGGCACTAGGTAAGTGTTCTTTGTCAGTTTTTCGGTGAACTGCTCCCCTCCATGTACCTCTTGTCCTTGATGTGGCCCAGCTTTTCTGATAGGATCCTAGTCACACTTAGAGTCACCACTGACATTTGTTGAGTACCCACTTTACAGACATTACCCCCGCTCCTTCATCTAATCTCTCTGGACCTCAGCTTTTTATCTATAAGATGGAAATAAGAGTAATATGTACTTTGTGACTCAGTGGTGACTATTTAGCATAGTGCCTAACACATTTAGTTAAGCACTCAACAAGTGTTGGAATAATAAACATTGTATTATTCCACGTAATTCTCATTGCTCTGCAAAATAAGTAATAGTATTATCCCTATGTGACAGAGGGGGCATTGGGACTCGGTGAGATAAGCAATGTGTCGTAGGTCACCAGCTAAATGGCAGAATCAGGATTCAGTCTGAAGCTAGCATTCTGTCTGCTGTGAACTTCTTTTCTTTCCTTCTTTTTCTTTTTTTCCCCAAATCCTCACCCAAGGATATGTTTATTGATTTCAGAGAGAGGAAGGAGGGGGGGAGAGGGAGAGACAGAGGGAGAGACAGATCAACAGACATCAATGTGAGAGCGAAACATTGATTGGTTGCTTCCTGTATGCTCCCTGACTAAACCTGAAACCTAGGTGTGTGTCCTGACTGGGAATCGAACCCGCAGCATTTTAGTGAACAGGATGATTCTCCAACCAACTGAGCCACCTGGCCAGGACCCACTATGGACTTTTCGTGGGATTGGCTCTGTCATGTAGCCACACCAAAGGCATAAGTTAGCAGTTTTGGCACCCAGGAAGGCTCAGTTCATGTCAGAAACCTTTCGGTATCTGCCGTTTACCAGGCGCTACCATAGCCGCTGTAAGTGAAGACAGACACTGGTCAGAGGAGTCGTGTTCATTCACAGTGTTAACTGTGATGTTAACTGTGAGCCCTGCCCCTCCCTGGTACAGCCTCCCGGGTCTTCCCCTTTGCCCGCCCCGTTCTTAGGGACGAGGTGACTTCCTCTATCTCTGCCTCAGCCGCCACCTTCAGCTGACCTCTGCCTGCCCTCTCTGGGCGGGGCCTCAAGCAGGTCCATCACTCAGCTCTTCTGAGTCATTATCACCCCAAGTCTTTGTAGGCTAACGCCACCTTCCTTCATCACGTGTCTTGTCAGCGGCCCCGCATGACACAGGTGCACGTTACTCTATCGGATGAGTCCATCACACATAAGTACTGGGCTTGTTGTTTTATACAGAACAAGGTGTGTTCGGCTCTTACGCTGAAAGTTCCCTGAGGTCAGGGACCAAATTTTTTCTTCTATTTGTAATCCCTCCTCTCCCTCTAGAGAAAACAGTGTCCACGCCAGCACTCTTCCCAAGAAGGAAATGGGGTGGCCTCCAGAGTTCCAGGCGATGCCAACTAGGAGGGCAGGCAGGGTTCCCAATGGGTGGGAGAGGCAGAGGCGCCTAAGAACACCAGGGGAAGGCTGAGCACAGTGTCCCTCTACACAGCACCTTTTGCTTTTCGAATGAATCTTGTGTTTTTTCATAAGCATGCTCCCCTACTAAGCTATCCCTGCTCTCAAGGCCCACCCAAGCAGACAGGGGCCCAACTTATCTTTGTGATAATGGTTGAACTTCACACAGAGGTTATATAGCTGTGAGAGGCCGGTGGGAACAGCATAACCAGACTTGAATCTCATGTGCCCTTCAGACCAAGCCAGCGGAGGAAGCATTGACTGGGCCTACGACTCTGGCATCAAATACTCGTTTGCCTTTGAACTGAGAGACACGGGTCGGTACGGCTTCCTCCTGCCTGCCAAGCAGATCCTGCCCACCGCCCAAGAGACCTGGCGTGGCTTGAAGACCATCATGGAGCACGTGCGAGACCATCCCTATTAGGGTCGTGGGGGAACAAACACCATTAAAACTCTCTGGCTTGAAGCAAAGTTGTGGAGTGGTGATTCTTTTTTTCTAATCTTGATATAGGAGGATTATTTCTTCAATTTATGTTGCCCCAAAATACAGCAGACAGCTGAGTGGTACCCCTTCACCTTTTTAAAAAAACGCATCCTTAGCAAAATGCTCCCAACGTCCTTTCAATATTTAAAAAAAACATCTTGGTAAAATAGACATAAAATTGACCACTTTAACCAGTTTTAAGTGTACAGTTATCACCACCATCCATCTCCGGAACTTTTACATTATCCTGAATGGAAACTTCATATCCGCTGAGCAGTAACTCTCTGTTCTCACTGCCTCTGGCCCCTGGCAGCCCCTTGTCTATTCTGTGCCTACGAATTTGCCTGTTTTAGGTGCCACGTATCAATGGAATGATAGATGAAGGAGGACCTTCCAGAAGCCGGACTTTATTTATAAAAAATTGTGTATTTATTCTTACAGGTTTAAATTGCAGTCCCCTTCCAAGTCCTCTCCTTTTGGTGCAGTACACCTGCGGAGATGTTTTCTCTGCTGCTCTAAACGGTTTTTGAACTTGTCAATTCTGATGCCTTTTAGTGCTTCTGCCATTTTTTGTTTCACTTCTTCCACATCGGCAAAAACGTTTCCATTTGAAGAGTTTTTCCATCCAGGGAAACAAACAAAAAAGGTCGTTCCACGGGCTCCCAGTAGATCCGGTGAGTAGGGAAGGTGGGGCCCCGGGGGTCACGGCTGTTTTGGTCAAAAACTGCTGAACACGCAGTGCAGTGCGGGCAGGTGCACTCATAAATCACCCATCATGAAATGGGTAAACACGTTGAAAGAGTCTTCAAAAAAAATTTGCTGAAGCTGCACTCAGCTTCTCACCGCAACGGCAGCTGGTGCACTGATACAGATGGGCCCCCAGAACACCCCCCTAGTGGGGAAGCCTGGACTACCAGGGGCCTGCCCTCCAGAGGTAATTCTGTTTTCTGGGGGGTCTCTCTCACAGCATTTGTCCTTTTGTGACTGGCTTATTTAGCATAATGTTTCCAAGGTTCATCCATGTCGCGGCACATGTGTCGGCTCCTTCATCTTAATCAAGTAGCATTTTAGAGCTAGAAAGGGACTTATGAGTTCATTTTTTCAATAAATACTAATTAAGCAACTACATTGTTCCAAGCATTATGCTAGGTACTGTGTCCTCTGGTTTCGTTATTGCCTTTGCTTTCCCGTTTCTGGTGTGCCGCATTATAAAAACTGGCGGGGACCCGAGCCAATGACACCCCTTCTTCGTGATTGCCTCATCACGTCTGGGCTTCAGACTCCATATAATTTCTCTTTAGACATTTACTTCTATTAGGGGTTGAAATTTTCTTCATGTGGATGGTTTTCTCTGAAGAGGAGGGGATGGGAAGTGAATTTCAGCTTGCCTAGAATTCTGGGTACTTGATTTTTTTTTTAATGCTCAGCCGAGGATATGTTTATGGATTTTAGAGAGACAGGAAGGGAGAGGGGTAGAGCGGGGGGCAACTACTGGCTGCTTCCCGCATGCATCCTGACTGGGGATCGAACTCACAGCATTTCGGTACACGGGAAGACACTCCAAGTAACTGAGAACTGAGTCACCCAGTCAGGGTGGGTATTTGATTCTTTAGCTCACATTTCTTGCAGATTCAGGTCTCAGCTTTTCTTGTTACTAATTTCAAAGCTGAAATTCATCCTGGTGAAGGAGAGCCCAGTCTTTTGAGATGGATCGGGATGGGCAAAGGGGTTCCCTTTCAGCCTGGGAAGGATAGAAGAGCTCTGGTAGGGACCCCAGGCCCACAGCTCCGGACAAAGACTCTCCTTGACCAAACCTTAGACGGGCTCCTCTGAGTCCTCTTTTTGACTAGGCTTATGCTTGGGCCCTAGGTTGGTCTCAGCAAAGAGTCCTGCTAAAGACACTGTCCCCTAAGCCTTGCTATCTGATCAAGCTCCTTATCTTCCACTTCTGATGTTTCAATCCTTGGCCTGCCTTGAGCAAGAATCCCGTGAGGCCAGTTAGGCGAGTACGCCCTTACTCGCGATGTCTCCTCTTAGCAGTCGTCCATCCGCTGACCCCTCACTCCATTGTCTTTACAGTGCCCAGGGTCGGGCACAATCACTTTCCCCAGTTACATCACCCCTAGTGCAGTAATTTTGAATAATGTCTTCCTTACAGTTCTAACAAATATCAGAATACTTTTTCTTTATCCCGATCACCACCCCTGGTTATAGCCACTCCCCTTAGCAAGTGCAGAGAGAGTGCGGACCGCGGGGCAGTGGGGAGGGGGAGGCCGGCGGGATTTGGGGCTCCCACGATCGACTCAGAGGCCCTGGAGCCCGTGAAGAAGCTGTGGAGGTCACAGGTGACTTCCGTTTATTCTGCTGTGACTCGGGGGCAAGGCCACTAGAGACTCAGAGCCTCACACATGTAAGAAGATCTTACTTTTCATAATGCCATGAAGCCTTCATGTTAGCTTAGGCCCTAAGGAAAACGGGTAATTTATTCAGACTAACACATTCTTCCTATACCTTTTACCTCATATATTTCCACTTTCTTACTGGGGTCCTAGGAGTTACGCATCGGACTCCTAACAGAGGCCGCCGCACGCTGTGCTTGCGGTGACCTGCTCCGGTGGGCTCTCTCACGGGGCTGGTCCAGGGTGTGGTCTCGGAGCTGGCTGCGCATTTCTTTGCTAGTCTTCACTTTTTTTTTTTAACTCCAGAGGTGGCTCTGTCTGAAGTTTACAACCTGGCCTCCCCTATTAGCATGAATTCTTTTCAGCACTGTGGGACTTCCTATTTAGTTAAAAAACACTATTTAAATACGGTGTTGAGCAATCTATATTGCACCTTCGGCACAGAGTTTTCCAGCCTGAGCAGCAAGTTCCTGATCCTGTAAATCAGGAGGCTGGCCTTTATCACGCTAAAGGAATGGCAGAGTCATGCAAGGCTGCTTGGGAATCTCACTAGCATTTCTAAGCACCTGAGTCTGCCTCAGACTCCTTATAAATACAGCTTGACTCAGCCACGGTGTAACTGACACCCTTGGGACATGAAGTGGATACTGCTCTTTGGGGCCCTTATTGTGCCCAGTATCTGTGGCCGAGAAAAATTTTCTGGGTAAGTTCCTTTTGGACTTATTATTATTACTCAGTTTGTTCAGCAATATGGGAGTCAAGTGGATTTGGAAACTAATGGCTGGTGATACTTCCAGTGGTGTGGCCCTGAGAAAGAAGGCCCGGGCTCCTATCCCAGCCCTGCTGTGTCATCCTGGACAACTTACTTGCCTCTCGGGCTCAGTGGTACCTGTGACATCAGGACCAGGTGGCCTCTGTGGTCCTCCCTCGCTCCCTCACCTCCTGCCAGTTCTTTTCCTTCCTAGTTCTTATTCGTAAGGTCATTTCCAGGCATCTTTTTCTTACTCCTATGCTATGAATTACCCAGAATGACCGGAAATTGTTTCTGATTTCCGTTCTGTGTGAGGGAAAACCTGGGTCTTAGGCCTTTTGGTTCCACCTCCCTGTTAGTAGTGAAGGCTCATAGAGCCGGTCCTGTCTGGGACACGGAGGTTTGGGAGGAGACCCCTGTGCTCTGTGCACACACGTGCTCTGTGGTGTGAGGGGAGAGGGCACTGGGGGTAGAAGAGGTGAAAGGGCGCCATGGCACCCCGCTGGCAGGCTCAATTCTAGTAACTCATTACTGCGTAAATGCTTCGCCGTTGGCAAAAAGCTTTCGTGTGCTTTATCTTTTGGATCACACAACTCTGCCAGGCAGGGGTGTTATTTTCCTTAATTTAAACATGGGGGAAAAAACACAAAAAAACCCCCCTCAGCCTTAGAAAGATTAAGAAACCAGCCCAAGGCCACGTAGCTGGTAAGTGGTGGAGCTGGAACTCTAAATGTAAATCCCGTCCCCTTTTGCTGTAACGCGGCAAGGCGATCTCCAGATAGAATCCTGTATCTCACCGATCCATCTACGTCTACTAGTTTGCTCTATTATGCTGTATGGCCAAAGGGACTTTGGGCTCATTTGCTGGGGTAATCACAATAGTTTCCCCTTATCTGTGGGGGACACATCCCAAGACCCCCAGTGGATGCCTGAAACCAAGGATAGTACCGAACCGCATACGCACTGTGTTTTTTTTACACATTCGTACTCATGATAAAGTTTACTTTATAAATTAGGCACAATAAGAGGTTGACAATAACAGCTAATAATAAAATAAAACAATGATAACAATACGCTGCAATAAAAGCTATGTGCGCGTGATCTTTCCCTCTCAAAGTATTTTACTGTACTGTGCTCACCCTCTGTCCTGTGATGGCCTGAAGGCATGTGATGGGATGAAGTGAGGTGCTCAGCCCAGCGTGTAATTGAAAACTTACAAATTGTTTATTTCTGGAACTTTTCAGCTAATATTTTCGGACCACGTTCTCGGGTAACTGAAACCATGGAAGCCAAACCTCGGATAAGGGGGAAACGATACACTTCTAGGAAATTGAGTAATTTTTATGGTGATGACTTCTGGTCACACCTGGCGTCTACTGTCAAGTAGCTTGGAGGCATGAGGCTCAGCAGGTGGCCAGGGAAGGAGACGGCTCCGCAGGCAGCGCAGTGCAGCAGCCACGCGCCGCCATATGGGCTGCTGCGTGGAGCTGTGAGCTCCCACTGCAGCTATTCACTCGGCTGAAAAATCTTCATTTCTTAGGATGCAGACTTCTCTGATGATGCAGCGGGGCAGCCGGGTTGAGATGGCTGGGCCGGGCCCTGCAGTCCTCGCCACAGGACGGGCACAGAAAGGGCCGCGTGCCTGGGCTGACGGCAGACGGTTTTAAACCATCGGTACCATCCTCACCCCTGCCCCCAAATCTGGTCTCACCCCAGCGTGGGGAACCCAGCAGAAGTGGAATTCTTCCTGGGGTCCATAGACATGTCCCAGAAGGCGAACATTTATTTTATTTTTATTCGTATATTTTTTTCCAGAAGGTGAACATTTAGAGCAAGTGGAAACTGGCCTCTAAGCGTTCAAGTGGTTGGGAAGCCAGGACACAGGTTGGCTTGGAGGGGTTACAGTGCTGAGGAGATGAAGGTGATGGCCTCCCCCCCAAAACCCTCTCCAGTTCTAGCCCCTGTTCTTTCTACTTCACTCACCCACTTCCCTAGTCTCTCTCACTCGGCGGGTGTCTGCTGCGCTGGTCTGCAGCCATCGTAAGGGCTGGATGGAGGCCAGGATGCCTAGCGGCGCGGGGCAGGCAGAGAGCAGGAAATGGCTGCAGAACTGGCCGCAGCATCAGCAGTAGTTGCGGGCATTGAAGAGTTCGGTGCAGCCCGCTCTCAGCACTTGTGGTGGATGCTCCGCCTGGCTGGGGATGCAGGTGAGAAAGGCGTGAAGACCAGGCCACTTGGGAGGGAGAGAAGCACAGCACCAAGGTGACTTGTCCAGAACACGGGATCAGCGACCATGCGGAGGCAGTGGCGGGACAGCTTGGGTGTCGGAGAGTGCCAGAGTTAGGAAGAGCTGTAATAATACCTGTGTGGAGTGGCGGGGTGAGCGTGGCTACCTGCACATCCCATCATATGCCCCCTCCCAGGCCAACCTTCCACAGTCAGAACGAGTTTAGGGTCTTTAAATGGATTTCCAGATGGTGGAGATAGGCTGTGTCCAGCTCCGCACACTGGGAAGGACGTTTTCCCAATAGACAAGGACGACGAGGGCGAGGAAAAGGCTGCCTTTCACCGGGCACCCACTTACGTTCTCTCTGCTCCCAGGTTTTGATGGGCATAATATTGAATTTTGAATAATGTGGGGCAACCCGTTGTCCCCAGTTTCAGTGTCATCTGAAGACTGTCCCTCACCATGCCTCTGGGTGGGGAAAACCTCATGGGCGATGGGAGTTGGTGCTAAAGCCTGGGTGGAGATTGCCAGGCACCTAAGGAGAAGGGCTGGGCATCCAGGCAGAGGGAACTGCCTGTGCGAAGGCGTACACAGGCAAAGTACGTAGTGGATTTGGGGTTTCATTGAGGCTGGAGCCAAGAAGGTGCAGGAAGGAGAGGCAGGTGGGCAAGGACTCGACTCTGCACCAGCCCTTTGTCAACGGGAGAACTTCTGAACCCGCAGAGAACTTTTGTAAGAGTTGATGGGAGTTTATCTGAGCCAAAGAGATGATGTGCCAGGGAAGCAAGATCTCAAATGCTCCTGAAAACGACCGTTTGGCGCCTTCTTTTATCCGTTTGGAATTAAGGAGGGCCAGCAAGAAAGGTTACATGAAGGTGGGGATTACAGGACAGTTAACAAGATTATGTGCTCCCTCCAGGGGTCTGAAGCAGAGGCATTCCAGGATGGACCGGGCTTTGCTTCAGGTGCAGATAAGCCTTTTGTAGACCTGGGACGTGACTACTACCCACCCTGACCTGCCCAGTTAGGAATTTGTAATCAGATTACTCTGCGAGGTTACTTTGGGTTACATTGCAGGGCCCCCTTCGAGCCCACATCTTCCCCACCGCCTGCCTGGATACTACGGCTGCGTGTCTGTAGCTGGGCTGGTTCGGGCGCCATGAAGTGGGCTGCGGACTCAGTCGTCATGGGGCCGTGAGATTCCCTGGGACCCCTCGTTGGCGTGGACTCCCAGGAGTCCGGAAGTTCTGTCGTGAAGTAACCGCTTTGCAAAAAGTAAAGCGAATGCTCTGTGTGAATGCAGAACATGATTTGCACACTTCTGAGAGCTCCTCATTCTTAGGCTCCCCTTTTTCCCTCTTCCTGTCCTTGTCCCCTCCCCTGCTTCTCTGTGATTGCTCTTGTCACTGCTGTCTTTTACAAACACCTAATTTTGCCAGTATCGGCGCACAGGCGCTTTCTAGAACACCACCCCTAAGACGTTCTTTCACTGCAGGGCTGGGGGTGGGTTGTGACAGTGCATGAGTTTGGCAGATGGGCCCTGGTATTCAGCCAGGAGTAAGGATTTCCCTTCTGTTTTAAACTCTTCCCTTTTCTGTGAGGCTGCCTGCCTGTGTCAGTGAAATGGTGGTTTGACTCCTCATCTTCCCGGGGCTACAGTCCGACTCCTAGCAAGCCTGTAGGGTTCAGACTGAGACCTGCCCGGCCAGTGGCTTCTCCCAATGGCCCCAGCAGCATCCCTGGGTGCGGTTGGCTGCCCACCTCCCGGGACCCTGTGGAGGGCAGGCGAGTTGGGAGAAAGTGAACCTCTTGGCACGGGCATTTTCTCCAGACCTGCCACCTGTGGCGGAAGCAACTCTTCAGGGGACCTTGCCTCCTTGGGGCTGGACTAGACCTCCCCCTACCCCCACAGAGATCCTGGAGAAGCTTCCAGAACAAAGTTACACCCCGAGAGTGCATCCAGATCAAGCTGGCTTTCTGATGAGGAGATGCTGATCTGCCACGTGAGGCTGCACGTTTAGCTCCCTGTGACAGAACCATTTTCCCTGTCAACAGGTCCTTCAGCCCACAGCTCTCTCCACCAGCTCTTCCCGCATTCATTCATGTCAAAGGGATGACGCATGTGACAGCGTCGAGTGCGGATTTTTTCGGCCTGTCACCTAGCAACGGCTTAATGGCTCCCCTGGCTACTTGAGCCTGCCAGAGCACAAAGGAAGCTTTTCAGGCTCGGCCTTCTCCCACCCACACACAGGACTTCGGGGGGCCTCTACCCCTGCCTCGGCTGGGCTGCGGATGCTAAACAGTGTGTTTGAAACAAGTGCAGGACCAACACAAAGGGGAGCTCGGGACCACTGGCTCCCTCTGGCCCCCCGTCAGGCGCCCCTCGGGAGGACTGAGTCCCGAGTTCAGCCTCAGCCCCTTGGCCCTCACCTCTGAATTTTTACAGGGTGCTGGAGCTGGATGAGCTTGAAAGAGCACCCAGCCTCTCCCCCCGTTTGCTAAGAGGAAAATAGCTAACTCTTCAGGGACGGAAGTTCTGTTCTCTTTCCCAGCCTCTTCCCAGCACGGACCTGGGGCCAGAGTTTCAGCCTCAGCCCCTGACAGTGAAAAAGTGCTTCTTTATGTCTTGAGTTAGCTTTGCGTGTAACTCAGGAACATTCCTTTCTGCAAAATATATATGTTTTTCATTATAAAGTAATACGACCGCATTACAGAAAACAGATACAAGGGGGGAAAGTCAGTCATCCATAACCCGGCGACCCGAGCATAAGCACTGTCAGCATTTGCTGTATTTCCGTTTCTGTCTTTCTTCCAGTGCATCTGCTTTTTCCATACCGGAGATCGTGGCATACGTACAATTTTGTGTCCTGCTCTTTCACTTAATTTTTCCCTTAAAGTTATACCATAAGCACTTTTTCACATTTGCCACGTAGTCTTGTTTTTAATGGCTATACATAGTAACCAAAGACTAGACCATTTCCTCTCATTTGGCGCAGTTATGTCTGGGGTAGTAGGTTTGGGGTTTATTTGCCAGCCAGAAAGCTCACCATTATCTTCTGCTTTCTCCCCCCCCCCCCCACTTTTTTTCCCTCTCTCCCTCCAGGGGCCAAGTGTTTAGGATTAATGTCAGAAATGGAGACGAGATCAGCAAACTAAATGAGCTAGTGAATTCAGACCACTTGAAGGTAACTGGACGTCTTGGGTATCTTCTGATTTTGGTGGGAGAAGACTTGCACCACTGACATTATTTCTGAAGAGCTTCTGGGTGTCACCTTGTACTGGTCCATGCTCCTCCCCCTCGCCGAGAGGGCTGATGGGGAGGAAGGGCCGTATATCATAGCAGGGCTGGGAGATGGAAGGCCTCAGCAGCGGGCTCCCTCTTCTCATCTGCCCCTGACTTAGCATTTCTTGGCCTTTGCCAGGCATTGCCTGCTGGACAGGCCTGCACCCAGCTCCTCAGAGATCACCCTGGCTTTTGGCAGTTGTTCCAGAAGAATGGGCTCATCATACCGTTTACCTGAACTGTCCTTTAACCTGTTTTTCTTGCTGTTATCTTCAGCTCAACCTCTGGAAATCTCCCTCCACCTTGGGCCTTCCTGTGGATGTCCTGGTCCCATCTGCCAGTCTGCAGGCAGTCACAGTCTTCCTCCAGTCCCAAGGCTTAGATTACTCCGTGACGATTGAAGACCTGCAGGTGGGTCAACCAAGGCCCTTCACTTGTCCTGCATAGTGCACAGCAGCCAGAACGGAATATTCTGAAGTTCTGGTCTTGTGTTCCTCCGTTTTGCAGGTGAAGACACTGAGGAGTGTGGGAATGAAGTGCAGTGGCCTGTGAGAGGAGCATGTTGTGGTAGAAAGGGCATACGTAGGGTAGGGAACCAGATAGGCCCAAATCTTGATTTTGTTAACTGCTAGCTGTGCGACTTTGGACATGCTTTTAATCTCTTTCTTTCTTTAAAAACAAAAACAAAAACAAAAACAAAATCTTTTTCTAAAATTTGAGAGAGAGAGAGAAAGAGAAAGGAACATCGATTTGTTATCCCACTTATGTATGCATTCATTGGTTGATTCTTGTATGTGCTCTGACTGGGGATTGAACTCACAACCTTGGCCCATCGGGATGACACTCTAACCACCTGAGCTACCTGGCCAGGGCAAGCTTTTAACCTCTTGAGCCTCTGTTTCTTTGCTGGGAGAATGGTAATAGTGATAACCACTTCATGCAATTTATTGAGAAGAGCGATTAAGTGCATGTACAAAGTGCATGTACAGTGACTGGCGTTTCAGAGATACCCACAAGTATTGAGTCTCTCTCCCTTTCCCTACAGGAGGGAAGAACAGAGTGGGGTGGGTGTTGGAGACCAGCCATAAAAAGCATCCTTTGAGAAACAGGGGATGTCACCAGCACCCTCAGTCGAGGGAACAGCACCACCCTAGCCAGGCACCAGCCTCACGACCTGTATCTGAACAGCAGGACAGTGTCTGGCTCATTTTCTCCCCTTCATCGAGGTGGGTTATGGACTAATTGGTGATTTGGCCCAGGAGTTTCCTGATGGCGTGAGCAGCTGTGAGCTTATTAATCATCCTCACATGTCATAGACATCTGCCAGGAGCCTTCAAAGTATGAGTGGTTATAAGAATTTCTTTGTTTCTGAATGGTTTCCCGAGCTGTATATTTCAGAGGCACTGGATACCAGATGCAGGCTGATGTCTATAGGGTTCATAGTATAGAATAACAAAATAGCACATGTACTGCTTCCAGGGAGTAAGGAGGTTTTGAACGGGGTAACGTGCAGTGGGCACCAAGTGTTAAGATTTTATAGGCATGTGGAAGATGTCTGACCTTTCACACCTTGGCATTTGTGCTATTTGACATGTGTGCTAAAGGCGCCGCCATCTTGGTTGGCCCACGGGCGAGGACGTGGCAGAAACGACATGGACCCCCACCTCCGATGGACCACCTCGCAGTGTTGCCATGTCTGTTTCAGGCCCTTTTAGATGAAGAACATGAAGAAATGCAACACAACGAAGAGCAAGAACGGAGCAATAGTAACTTCAACTATGGGGCCTACCATTCCTTGGAAGCTGTAAGTGTTTCTGAGCGGGTTAAGATCAAGGCTATCAGTGTCCTGGGTTTTGTGACCCCTTTCCTTCCTTCCAGGAGGGATTTGTCTTTAGCATGACATCCCTTCACTGAGGGACTCAAATGTGCACACTGGATTCTTTTCCAGTTCTTGGGTTGCTTAACTCCCACCAGCACCTAAGAGCATAGTGAGAAGACGAACTGAACATTTTCTTCCACGTTTCATTCTTTTCTTAAGCAACCCCTCAAAGGAGGCCTTGAACTAACTGCAGTCGTTTCTAGTGCTTGGAATTTAACCTCCTTGTACCCTGCCATAATCCTTGTATTGTGTTTACCCAAGTTAGAATATTACTTATTCCAGGCAAATAGACAAGTGGTTATTTCAAGGTTAACCAAGTATTTCCCCTCATTTATCACAACGACTCATAACGTATATTTGTTCCATAATGCATTTTGGTGCTGTGTTTAGTTAGAAACCACTTTATATAGACGACTGACTTTCAAGGTAAGCCAACCCTTCAAATGAAAAACTTGGAGCAGAATAATTTAATATGATATTGGAACTTGAGGAATCAAGAGGAACTAATAGAATGAACTGCATCATGTCCAATGTAGTTCTGTTAGGTCCCTTCAATGTCTTCTTCATTAATCTGGAATCGGCGGGCTTAGGAACACACCCCAAATCTAAGTTGGTATCTCCTCCCTGTATCTCAATGCACATTGTTCTTTCGATCCAAAGACATGCTTCTTCATGAGGCATGTACTTTTGAGTTGTTTTTCTTCTAGTGAGTGAGGGATTACCTCAAAGTCTGATCATTTGCACTTTTTTCTCCTGATCATCAGTAGCTTTGTTTATTTTGTACACTCCCAGCTGCATCGCCCCTCGATCCTTCTTGTGACCAATGACATACATCTGCGAAACAGCTGGACAAAGTTCAGACCAGGGCCATGGACAAAAGCAGAGTTCAGGGTCCAAGTGGAGCTCGGGGTCCAAAGAGGGGTTAAACCCGGATGTTAACTTCATTAACACTGGACACTCCCTAGCGGGCTAACCAGTCCCAAATGTTACCCAAGATCCCGGAAACTCCATCCGCTCACCCGCCTGCCCTGGGAAGCTCACTTCCTTATCCGCTGGCTTTTGGCTTTCGTCCTCTGGCCTTAGGTGTCATTGTCATCTGGTTTACAGCTGTCTCTTTTTTCCCGAGAGGCCTTTCCACTGTGGATGGGTGTACCATGGTCTCCCTTTGGCTTGATCATATTCAGTGTTTTTTTTTTTCTAAAAACACCTTTTAAGAGCTCATATCCTACAACCACTTAGCTCTTCGTTCTCTAGTTGGAATTTCGTGTTTGCTTCTACCAGGGTTTCTAGTTTCAGAGGCTTCCTATGTGTTGGGGTTGCTGTTATTTCTGCTGGGTTCTCAGGTGAGTTTCCCTCTGATGTTGGCTGTGTGAATTGGACCCCCTCCCCAGGCTCAGCTGGGTGTTCTAACCTTTCCTGGGTGACACTCTTTCCTCTCGTGGCTCAGGGCAGGCATCTGACTTTTGCGCCACTTTCTAGGGTCAGTGGATAGAATTTCCAGGCCCCTTTCATGGCTCGTTTGCCAATTCCCAGCTCTCGGGTTCCAGCTCCTTGCCCCGCACTGGGTCCCATGCCCTCGGTTCTTGTTCCCGGTTTGCTGTAAACCCTCAGCACCTAAGGCCGCTGCGTGGGCTTCATCCTGTGCCCTCCGCTTGGCCAGCGTGTTCCCTCTTCATTTCTGGCACCTACAATTTCCCCCTTTTTAGCTTTTAACTTGGCTGCGCATAATCTTCACTGTATTTTATCTGGCTTGCCTTTGTGTTTGGGGAGTGGTGTCTTGCTTCAATTTGCCATATTGATTGCAACTCTGATAAACCCTTTGAGCCTGGTATTATTCTGTGTATTGATTGCACATTTTCCTCCCCTGTAAGGGCCCTCCTTCCAGTTTTAGGTCTAAATATAAATCTGTTTACTTCCTTCTTTTGACCATCAAAAGGTTTGAGCAACATCGACGGGTGAACTCTATTTAAGTCAGCCATGGCCACGGCGGGCAGCTCTCCACTCGTTCTCGTAGGGCCTGGAGGAGTCGCCTCTGACGGGAGGGCCTGTCCGCTGGGGTGGGGGAGACGCCATTGCAACTTCTACATATATATTTATTAATGTGACCGTGAAACTGTTTTGCTTTATAATCTACTAAATATATAAGTATATATAAATAATATTTTTTTAACTGATGGAGAAAGTGATCAAAAAAGTTTGGAGTGCACTGATTGCAAGAACCCCGGCTAAATGGGGCCGCAGGGCCAGTCTAGGATGGTTCCGAGGGCCACTCTGTTGGAGCTGTGGCTTAGTTTAGAGGGCTGTAATTTTGTGGACGGATACAAATGGGTTCTTCTCTAGAAAATGTGTAGAAAAGGACTCTTTAGGCCCTTCTTCAAGAATAAGCATTCCGTGATGATGACGTTGTCAGCCCCAAGGTCAGGGGCTAGAAGACATCGTTAAGTCTGCAGATACCTAGCCGGAGCCGAACAAACACTAAAAATGCCTCTGGGTCCACTTTTCCGTGCTTCAGATTTACCAGGAGATGGACAGGATCGCCGGAGACTTCCCCGATCTGGCGAGCAGGGTGAAGATCGGACGTTCGTTTGAAAACAGGCCGATGTATGTACTGAAGGTGAGGCCCTGAGCCCTTTGGAGAGCCGGGCTGGACGGCAGCTCCTGGGTCCTTGCATCCCATCCCGGACCCAGCCGTCGGCCTCCTCCAGGGGCAGCTTTGTAGGACCTCTTAGACTTCGGGGAGGAAGGTGAGGTGGAGAGACTGGACCGGGGTTTGAGTTTGGTCTGACGGACAGAGACAGTCCCCTACTTGCACGTCTCACTCCAGGCTTTGCCGGAAGGGCCGGGTCAGGGATGCCTATGGGAGGAGGTTAGTATTCCAGAAAGCTCTCAGGGCACAGTCCTTCGCCTTCATTCCCACCTTCTGTAAATAGCACGGCAAATTGGGAGAGTTCTACAAATGCTACTCTGCTTCTAGGGGCGCCTATTTAAAAAGCAATCCAGGAGGCTAATTTTAGGGCTGATGTAATTTTAAGCCCAGCCTATGATCCTTGGCTGCACAAAGCCTAATTTCCAGATATTTCTAACAGGTTCAGGTCTCTATTGGCAGAGGAGGTAGAGAATTTATGGCAATAGCAGAAATCACATACATAATCCAGCCGGATGAATAAAAAAGAACTTGGAGATGCAAACCATGGAATGACCGGCGATGCTGAGAGCTTGTCCCACCCGTAGCCCCCTCTCAGCCCTGGAGAACGCAGGCTCAGGGAAGTCGTTCAACTACCAGGGAGAGGAGACCTTCCAACGAGCTGCTTGCTCTAAAATAATCTTTACAAATTTGCCAATCTAATGGAGACCCTGGAGTCATTAGCACCAAGTTCTGTCCTGGGCGGTGGGGGGGTGGGGTGGGAGGGGGACCCACTAGAAAGCAAGAGCCAGAATTCACTTAATGCCATTTACCAAGAGCTCTAGCGAACCCCTCTTCCTCTTTTTAAAAATCGAATTCATTTATTGCAGCCACCAGAACAGGCTGGTTCGCGCACTCTTGTCTCTCTCTGTTGGGATACCGTTTGAGGTTTTCCCAGGGACACAGTATTATTTCTAATCACACTGGCATTATCATTCACAACAGCAATTGTTTCCCCTTCCTATTCGCTTCCAACCCTGGAGCACTGGCTGGGCCCGCCAGCCAGCCAGCCAATTAAGCTCCCTAGTCACGGATAAACTGATAAATAGATGGTGACCTCAGGAACATTTGGTCTCTGAATTGTCTTAAATAGATTAAATGAATAGGGGCGAGCTGGAGAGGGGAGAGGTGAGCTGAGAATGGGGCTGGAGGGTCATTTTCTGGTCTCTTTTTCCTTCCACAGTTCAGCACCGGAAAGGGCAGTCAGCGGCCGGCCATTTGGCTGAACGCAGGCATCCATTCCCGGGAGTGGATCTCACAGGCCACGGCCATGTGGACCGCGAGGAAGGTCATGTCGCCTGGTGTTAGGCCAGAACTCTGGGGAGCCCGGGGGGGCCCCTGAAGCCTCCCATGAGGCAGGGCCCAGGGGATGAGGTGGGAAGACACGGTGGGCTGGAGGCCTTTTCATTTCAGAGAAGCAAAAGGTCAGAGCTCCTTGGTCAAGCCACTGTGGCTAAATGACAGAGCGCATTCAGGGCAGTGAGCAAGCTAATGAGCTCCAGGGGTGGCCCCAAAACACAGACCCACGGTCAGCCCCGCAGAAAGGGAGTGGAGCCTTGGCAGCAGCAAAACTCAGCTGAGTTTTGCCTTTGGCCCCTTCCCAGCCCCCCAGGCCCCCAGGGACCTCATGCTGTCTCCGTATGCCCCTGGGAAGCCTGCTTTAAGCCAGCCCGGGAGAGGAAGGGTGGTGCGCGTGGAGGACCCATCTTCCCTACGCCTAGCACGGGGGCTCAGATTCCCAATAACTGCTGTGATGTGTGGCCCTCCGCTCCCCTGTTCCCACCCCCTGGGAGGAATGAGTAAACCAGCCAGCCCAGGGCTCGCTGCGGTTGAGGTCATCCTGCAGCCATGTTCCCCCAGGTTTTTAAGTGCTCTGAGGACCTTGCAGAGAGCTGTGTCTTTGGCGGTGGCGGGGAGGCTGCAGAGGGTGCTGTTCCAGCAGCTGGGCATGTGGGGGAGATACACGGGCTTAGGCCTAACCATCCAGCCCGCAAGGGCGTAGCTGACAAACTCGTTATCTCTGCTTAGATTGTATCTGATTACGGGAAGGATCCAGCCGTCACCTCCATCTTGGAGAAAATGGATATTTTCTTGTTGCCAGTCGCCAATCCTGATGGATATGTATATACGCACGCTCAAGTGAGCAATACCCAATGGGCTGCTTGGAGTTAAGGCTTGCTTGTGGAATGCCTTGCTTTGCCACTAAATATTTGCATGACCTTGGGGAAAACTTCCACAATGTGTTGTAATGAGCTTCCTTGGGGGTCTTGTTCTCCAGGCATTCTCTCAGCTGGGAATCACCAGGGAGTGTTTTTTCTTAGAGACACTAGTCTCATAAACTTCCTGCATGGATCCTGGACGATTGTCAGCCCTCTGCCAATCTCCTTCGCATTCCTTTCCCTCCCACGCATATTTTTCCTGACATTTTAAAGCAAATCCCAGACATCAAGTGATTTCACCCAAGATTTCTTTCGTACACATCTCTAGCTAATGATAGTTAAAACAAAGAACCGAACAGCACACCGCTATCACCTTCACAAAGGTAATGGAAATTCTCTTTAAGTCTGCTTGTTGCAGTCAGGGTCCAGAGAAGGATCTGCGCCTGCGCGGGGTTGTTACGGCACCGCAGACGTTTTCATTCTGTAGTACTGAGCGCCGTCCCACGCACGTCTTTTAAAAATAGCATTCATTTTTGGGGAAACCAAGTAGAGTGCCCCGCGGCACGTCTGGCATTCTGAACTCGGCTGATGGCCTCTCTGTTGCGTGCCATTTAACGTGTTCTCTCAGCCCCGTGTACCCTACGTGCTGGTGATCAGATCTAGAGGCATGCTTGGATTCGCATGACTTTTTTAGGCAAGAACACAATAGTTGTGCGCTTCTGAACATGTCGGTGATCATGCAGGTGCGTAATGGCCATTCGTCCCACCTTTCCCGAAGCCAGAAGTTCCTCAGTGGGTGCAAGTGCCATCAGCCTGGTTCTTGTATCATAGAGTGCTCATCGGGCCGTTTTGAGGGCACCCGTGTCTCAGAGCCAGCAGGGCCCTGAGGGGAGAGGACGGGAGCCCCGACAATCCTCCGGGCAGAACTGTTAAGCAGCTCGCCCCGTCCACAATGCCCATCCCCATCTTTGGCCTCAGAAAGAAACCCTTCACCTCTCTTGTGCCCTGACCCACCTCTGGATGCTTTGTTCCTTCCTTGGTGCACTTTGCAGAACCGACTTTGGAGGAAGACACGGTCCCTACATCCCGGAAGCTCCTGCATCGGTGTTGATCCAAACAGAAACTGGAATGCTAGCTTTGCGGGTAGGTTGGAGAGCCGCTTCTCACACCCTGTTGCCCCCGGGTCGCCTGGTCCACGGGGCTCTAAATGGATCCATTGCTGATTCGCTGAGAAACTTGGTAAATCCCTTATGCCCTCCATGTCTCGTTTTTAAATTTTTTTTCTTTTATAGTTTTGAAAGGGAACAACTCTGCAATTCCTATTCTCCTGAGAGAATGCTAATATTGAAAAATCATCATAATCTTTTTTAAAAAAAGAGTTTATTTATCTACTTTTAGAGAGAGGGGAAGGGAGGAAGAAAGAGAGGGAGAGAAACATCAGTGTATGAGAGATACATTGACTGGTTGCCTCTCGCACGCCCCCAACTGGGGACCTGGCCCACAACCCAGGCATGTGCCCTGACTGGGAATCGAACCAGCGACCTTTCGAAAAACCATCACAGTCTTAGACATACACATCCATGCCTCTTCCTTATACCCTGCTCACCCCAGCTTGTGGGTGGAAGGGCTCCTGAGGCAGCCCAGAAGGGAACAGTTAGCACTGTTCCTGTAACAGGCAAGATCACATGTGTTGAGAATTAAACTCCAGCAGTTTACCCTTAGATGTATAAATATGAACCTCCACTCTTTGATGTGATGGAAAGACAATGAATGAGGAGACTTGGGTTCTGAGTTCCCTGTATTTAAAAATCATCCTCACAATTGTGCCAACAGGCACTTTCCCATGCATTATCTTATTCACCATTCTTCTGACCTGAAGAGTGAATTTTAGCATCTGAAATGAGACCATGGACACTCAGAGACGATCTCAAGAGTTTATGGTTAAGAGTTGGATCTGAACTCCCCTTGTGATTCCAACTCCCAACAGTTCTCCCTCACTGTTCTACAGATGTTTTGTTCTTTCACTTGCACAGAAAGAGCACGCAAACCATGGGGGTGGGCGGGAATAACGTGACCGTGGGAAAGGAGCTGATAGAAATTTAGGTCAGCTATTCCACACCTGGGCTGGTTTTGCACACACCAGATACCTCGGGGAACTATACAGGGAAGTAATATTGAAGACAATATTTCTGAACACCTGTCACATAATCAAGAGATTTTAGCCACAACAATAGATTATTTTTGGCAGCGCTCTGCCATTAGGATCTGAACCAAGAGAACGAGCTGACACCAGAATAAATGGAGTCATTTTCATTATTAATTGGTATTCATATTAATTATCTCGACTACTTATTAATTACATCTCATTGTCAGGTGTGATATTAATGATTTATGACAGTTGTTAGTGATACAATATAAGGTCAACTTTACCCTTTGCAAGGAACCCTGCCAGTTTTCTCTCTCAGCTGTTGCAGATCCGGCACCCCGAATTCCCGCTCCTGCACCCTCCCCTTACCGTCCCCACCGTGGCCTAGGTTCCTGGGGGCACCGAGCAGTGTCCCGCCCATTGCTGGCACCTTCTGCCCTTCCCCTGGATTGTGGGTTCTGCACTTCTGTTTTCTTGGCCTTTGGGTTAACTAACGTTTCTGCCTGAGCCACTCCCCGCCCCACAGGTGGGGGAGCCAGCGACAACCCTTGCTCCGAAGTGTACCATGGACCCCACGCCAATTCCGAAGTGGAGGTGAGATCGGTGGCAGATTTCATTCAAGAGCATGGGAATTTCAAATGCTTCGTCGACCTGCACAGCTACTCGCAGCTGCTGATGTATCCGTACGCGTACACAGACAAAAAGGCCCCCGATGCTGATGAGCTGGTGAGTGACGGGCTGGCCCGCAGCCATCCCCAGGCCTGCTTGGCCCTCGCCTGCTGCCGAGGTGGTTGGTTGTTCTGCAGCTTTCCAAGGAAAGTCCAGGAGCCTGGGCTTATTTCATTAAGGGTCCCATCTTCTCTCCCTGCCTTCTCAGGCCTACTGGCAATAGGAAGAAGATGTGCCCTTATCTGTGCTCTGTGCTTGCTGTGACTTCCAAGAACCACACTTCTGATCCCTGCCTTTCCTTCTCACTTGTGTTTCGCCCAAAACCCCAAACCCATTGCAGACCCACTGGCTGCCAAGAGCTGGGGGTGGCATTGTGTTGCGAGAGGGGGAGGCGCTCCTCACTCCACATGAGGTGGAGTTTGAGTAGCGTGTGAGCCACCGCCTAGCGGTGCTCTTTGCCACGTACAGTGGCTCATCCTAGGATGTGAACAGGCACGGACAGTGGGCTGTCGGAGCTGGGCTGGCATCTGCAGAGTGACCGCAAGCCTCCCGCTCTGTGCTGGTGGGCTGGTGGGCTGTGGCCCTTCTGCCCAGGGCCACAGCTAGTACATAAACCTCCCAGCACATACGGGGCTCATGGTGGCAAGGTGTGGGCTGGATTCTGGCCTCAAGCAGACGCTCTGCATAGGACAATGGCAGCCCTGTCCCTACTCCACTCTGGAATACCCAACTCCAAGGTTTTCTCTCGAACATACTCGGCCTTCCCTCACATTCTCGAACCTGACACTTCCTCCCCTTAGGACCGGTGAAGATGGTGTTGCCTGTACTAGATTCCTAAGGGGCTGTGAGCAGCCTTCCAGGTCTTTGGAGAGCTTGAGTGTGTAATATACACGGTTGCAGGACGCATGTGCGTCTTCTCTCACCTCCCTCTTTATCCCCTTCCCTGAACTGGAAGTAAAGAACTGGGGATGTGATGGGAGATGGAGTTCCCCTCACTTTGGAATCGGGCCTCGACTTCAGTGGGGTGGGGGGCGGGGAAGAAGAGGAGACCCGAAGGGTAAGTCGGGGGAGGGGCCGGGAACCTTCCAAACCACTGCAGTGCAGAAGAGCAGAGGCACCTCAGGCTGCGGCACCCGGTCTCTCTTACTCCGCCCACTTCCCCGTCCTAGGACAAGGTGGCGAAGCGCGCGGCCAAAGCGCTGGCCTCCCTGTCGGGCACCCGGTACCACGTGGGCTCCATCTGCAGCACTGTCTGTAAGTATTCGTCCACTCTCTAGGGAAGGCTTTGAGAGGGACCTCGACGTGGAGCAGGAGAAGGGCTGCAAGTCAGACGCTGCAATCTGATTGTTTCTGTTGTTAGTGGGTTGTTTTGTTGTTAGTGATGGACTGGAGTTATGTCAAGCCTGTGTGGTAATAGCTGTTGCAGGCAGTCATCTTCATCTTCATCATCATCATCACTACTGTCATGCTGTTTATCATGTGCCCATGATGACTTGTTCCGCCAGCGCAGGACAGCCTGCGTTCCTTATCTCCCATTAACGATCCTGACACGGTTTATCAGGAACTCCCCCAGCCCATCATTCCAGGGCGGTGAAAACCCACCTGTGGATTGGCAGATGCCGGTGGTGGTGGTGGGGTGGCTAGGATTCCCGCACTTGCTGTCAGAAATGAACACGGGTTGGGGTGTGGCAGGGTGGGAGCTGAGTTAGGGGGTCTCCCCAACGATGCTTAGCATCAAGCCAAAAAAAAAAACCCACCAAAATTCTACCAAGACCCCAAATCTGAAGATAGTCTTGAGGCTCATTATCCAAAGCCACAACCTCATTTCGAGGAAATACATTTTGTTTTGGTTTCTCGGTGGAGTGTTTCATCTGAAAAACTCACTCTGTTCCTGCTGAGACCCTTCCAGTCCCTGGTCTCTAACTGTAAAAACAGAAGAAAACCTCGCTTCTCCAGGCCCTTGCTATCAATGGGAAACGTACATACAAATGCGGGGAGCTGGTGCTGACCCCCTTTAAGCTCATGCCCTTCTTTTTCCCCCGCTGCTGCCTCCCCTGTCCCCTCCCCTCCCCCCCAGGAACCCCAGCAGACCTGCTGATCCTGGATTTCTTTCCGCTTCCTCACTGTACCTCGCTCTCCCACCTTCTCGCATCACCTCCCACTGCCTGTCCCCTTCCGCCGTCCTCTTCTGGGAAGTCTCTCCGTCTCCCTCCAGGGCCCTCTGATCTCAGCACTTGTCTGTGTTTCAGGAGCCACCGTGTGGCATGAGGCCGTCAGCATGATGTTAGTGTTTGTGTTGCTAATTGCAGCAACAATCCATTAATTATTCATGGTTTATTATTATTAGTGTTGTTAAATGGGAACTCCTCAGAGAACAAGCACATCAGGAGAGTGTCTCCACCCTCCGCTTAATTAGTCGGAATTGTGTCCCAGACCGAAGAGAGCTAAACAGACTTGGTGGGTGGTAGGAGTCCTCTGCGGACAGCCTCTCAGAAGATCTCTCTGGGTCACCAGGATCCTGGCCTTGGGGTCAGATAAAGTTGAAAACGTGACCTTGTCCCCTCCCATCCAACGCGTCCTTCTCCTTCACATCAAGAAACACTCATCAAATTCCTCCAAGAGGAGGAGAGGAAGGCTCTGTTGAGGGTGCCCAGGACACATACTGCAATATTCCCTACCTCTTTCAAGAGCCCGTCCTCTGTATTCTTGCAGGGTGTCCCACCCGTGGGCCGCATGCAGGCCAGGATGGCTATGAATGCGGCCCAATGCAGAATCGTCAATTTACTTAAAACCTTTTTTTGCTCATCAGTTTTCGTTAGTGTTTGTGTATTTAAGGTGTGGCCCAAGACAACTCTTCCTCTTCCAGTGTGGTCCAGAGACTCCAAAAGGCTGGATGCCCCTGCAGGCTTTGTCTGCCCTCCTTGCTTTTCAAAAACGTAGTCCATTTTTGTATAATAACACTCCAGCCCCATGGGTTATGGAATATGCTACGCAAGTAGTTGCTGTTTCTCCTTCTAGTGCTGGACCTTTTCTTAGGTTTACCATTTTAGATGAATATCATTCTAAAATTAATGAAACTCATTCTAAAATGGATTTCAACTTTCTTGCCTGTTAAAACAGAGCATGTTGCCCTGGCTGGTGTGGCTCAGTGGATTGGGTGCTGGCCTGTGAACCAAAGGGTCACTGGTTCGATTCCCAGTCAGGGCACATGCCTGGGTTGCGGGCCAGGTCCCCAGTAGGGGGTGCATGAGAGGCAACCACACATTGATATTTCTCTCCCTCTCTTTCTCCCTCTTTTCCCCTCTAAAAATAAATAAGTAAAAAAGAAAAAATAAAACAGATCATGTAGAGGAGACTTAAACTCCTTTCTTTAAGACTCAGTGGCTTCCTGAATGTCAGCTGTTATGCCCTGAAGGCTGAGTGTGCCCTGTTGGACTGGGTAGTTCCTGTGCTAGCAAACTCCGGCTGGTTTTGCTTCTTTAATTCTTGTGTCTGCTTTTTAGAGCTTTCTCGTCTTCTTCTTCTGGTCAAACTGTACTGCTTTCAGGCCATCTGCCTCCAGCAACCTTTCCTCTTACTGACTCTGGTCTACCAGGGGCTTGGAAACAAGTTCTTTGGGCTGGTTCGGCTCATGAGACTGTGGGTATTAAGGACGGTCTGACAGCATTGTCTATAGTCTCCAATGACTGGTAACCCACGAAAGACCGCTAAGCATCACATGTTCATCAGGAGAGTGCTGGATAGAAACGCATTTGGTGCAGTCATCAGGGAAGCAGCCCTTACATGAATGAGGCGAGTCTGTATGTGCTAACAGGCAGTGACCTTCAGATGTTAGTTCAAAGGTACAGCGTGCAGAACAGTGTAAATAGTATGTTCCCATTTGTGGGTTTGTTTTTTCTTTTTAAAGAAGAGTAGACTTTGAGCAGGGGCCCAGATAAAGTGAACTCCATGAACTTGATCACTTCACTCAGCAGAGGTCTTCTTGCCTCCTTCCTGAGTTTTAAATGTGTCCTGAAATACTTAAGTCTGCTGTGTATGTAACCTCCAGAAACCTCTGGTACCTCGGCCTGTTTTTAATTCAGCATTTTCTCAGAAGAGAGAGAGGCTGTGGGAACCATGCAAGGATCTCAGAGAGCGTAGGAGAGCGTGCTCCCTCACCCAGGGAGCAGGTAGTCTCAGTGGAACCAGCATGTCTAGAAAAATGGCAAATGGTATGAGAACCAGTCCTCAGGACAATGGAGAAACAAAAGGACCTGTCTAATTGTGTAACTGACATGTAATACACCGAACAGACTAGAAGGAGGCTGAAGAAAGCAAGGGCTTCCTCATCAGATGGACTTGGGTTTAAATTCCACCCTTGCCACTTTCCATCTACACGTCCTCAGATAAATTACTCAGATAAATTATCCATCCTCAGATAAATTACTCATCCTCAGCCTGGATTTCCTCACCTGGGAAACAAGGACAACAGTACCGACCCTCACTGGGTTTTTCAAGGTTAAATGGGGTCATAAATGTAAACTTTCCAGTATCACGACTGGCTCGTGGGAGATGTACAATAAGTGATAGCTGCCATCGGCATCATCATTTTATTAATCAATATCGTCTACACTCTGCACCCTGACCCAATTTCTACTCTAGCGTAGTTTGAGGAGAAGCAGAAAAACAGGCCGGCCGCCTTTCCCCAGCGTTCTCAGTGTTTTGGCAAAGGGGAAGTCCGAGGGCTGTGCTGCTTTCTTTCTGTATGTGCCATCTTTTGCTCTGTGGAAGCTATCTTAAAACCTCGCAGCTTAAAACAATAGAGTTATTTTCTTAACCAGTGGCCTTGCTGGGTGGCTCTGGCTCAGGGTCTCTCGAGGCTGCAGTCAAGACGCCTTCCAAGGCTACAGCCGTCTCAAGGCTGCACAGGGCCGGAGGGCCTGTGTCTTGGTAGCTCCCGCAGGTGCCTGGCGAGTGAGTGCTGATTTTGGGTGGGAGCCCTCCCTCCTTCACCACGTGAACCTCCTCTAAAGGCTGCTGAGTGTCCTTACCACATGACAGCTGGCTGTCCCCAGAGCAAGTGAGCCGAGAGAGGGCAGGGTGGAAGCCACAGTGTCCTTTATGGCCCGGCCTTGAAGGTCACACACCTGCGTCTCTGCAGTCTCTTGTTGGTGACACAGCCAGGTAAGCCCCCACCAGAGTACAAGGGCACTGTGCAAGGACATGGATGTGCCAAGGGACGCGGCTCACGGGGACTGTGTCTCACATTCCTGGAGGCTGTCTACTGTGTTCTGTCTCTGTGAGCACTGGTTTCGAGGGACCGCAGGGGTCTTCAGAGTGACTGAGTGATCAGGTGGGGATGAAGGTTTGAAATCTCTTGATCGGAGACTAGCGGAGACCCTTGTGGTGCGGGGCAGCCTGAGACACATACGGGCGAGGCCAGTGTTCTGTGTCTCCGGCCTAATGATCTGCCGAAAGAACTCTGGACCCCTCCTGGCCCCTTCTCCCCTCACCCCGAGAGGAACTGGGCTTGAAAGGCGTGTGCTCTTCCGATCTGCAGATAAGGCCAGCGGCAGCAGCACGGACTGGGCGTATGAAAACGGCATCAAGTACTCGTTCACTTTTGAGTTAAGAGATACTGGGCACTACGGCTTCCTCCTTCCAGCCAACCAGATCATTCCCACCGCAAAGGAGACCTGGCTGGGGCTGAAGACCATCATGCAGTATGCGCGGGACCACCTCTACTAGATGAGGAGCCCTCTCCGTCTACACGTATTGATCCCCACGTATGTACACACACGGAAGCCACTATTAAAGGGAGCTTGTTCTTTCCCCCGTGAGCCAGAGCCCTGTGGCTTTGTAGAAGTGGTCAGCCCCTCTCCAGCCCCGCTCCCTGAACTTCCTGCGCTGGCGCTGTCGTGGAGCACCTGAGGGAAGGGCTTCTGTCACCTGCGGTACTCTGGTCCTGCTGCTGGGGGAAGCCCTTTCTTTGCACACCTCTCCTACACCCCCGCAGGTCCAGCGAGCGGAGGGTAGGACCGCCCCTTCCTGGTGGCTGGCTCCGCCCCATTTTTAGAACAAAAGAGTATCTGTGGTGGTTCTCCAGCCTCACCCAATCTCACCAGGCCTGGTGATCCTGCTCTGCGGGGCGGGGCAGGCAGGTGCTGTGGGAAACAAAGTGATTGGTCTCGAAGTTGATGCAGAAGGAACTTCCTTTAATTTATCGCACTCCTTCTTGACCATGTTTTTCTTTGAAAAACAGTTCCTGCAGGGTCATCAGCAGAGGTCATCCCTGCCCCGCCCCCTGTTTTGTTTTTGTATGCTTTTGGTCTGAATACCAAGTAGAGGATCGCTTGTCATCGCTGGACCCCAAATTCCCCGATACCGCAGTTCTGATCATACCCTTCCTTCTATTACTCAGGGTCACCGGGCTCCCGGGAGAAAATCTGCGCCACACTGTAGGTGCCGCTCACCCAGAAACCCTCCACAAAGCAACGACCTCATAGCAGGACGGCTAAATTGTCTCCACCTGTTCCATGGGTTCACCTCCACTTTGCCTTTGAACTTCAAAGATCCCATCCTCACCCTACAAGTCCTAAATCACTCCCCTGGCCTGGATGATCTCACTGCCTGGGCGCATTCCTGTCTGTACCTGGTGTTTGCTTCTTCTTTTTTTGGGCGGGGGTGTGTGGTCTTTAAAGTCGTCATCTTCCACTTGCACCCTGGACCCTGGGTACCAAGGTGAAGCAAGGCTTCATCCATCAGGCTCTGTTCCATCCGGCCTCAGCAGGTACCAGGTGCCCCCCGCCCCCCTTGTTTTTGCTTTCGTCAAACATGTTTATAAATCTTATCCTTCTGCCTGGGATTTGTGCAGCATCTGGTGTGTGCTCAAAAGCCAATAAATATTCAATGTTAGTCTTATGATTGTCTCCTCTTCTTCGCCTTCACCTGAATAGAACCAAGCCATGGTTGTGAATATGCAGCTCTTTATAACGTCAGAAGCCAATTTTAATCCCTGTTCGTATTGTGTGACATGCAAGAAGACCTTCTCCATCAGGCCCAGGGGCCTCCGGGGCAGTGTTACCTTGGTGACTGTGTTCTGGTCTGGGGTCTGGTTCTTAGCTTTTCCGCTCAGAAGCGTGATGTTCTCACCGTCCGTGTTGATTAGACTCAGGGATGCTGACTCACGCCTGCAGAGCTCAGAGGAGGCAGCTGATAAAACCAGAATACGAATTTATTAATTTACATTATGGCATGTAACTATTTAGTGAATTGGATCCTCACGTCGGCCTGAACAGTACATTCTCTCCCTGTAGGCAAGATACATGGAAAGCCAAATTATAATCAGAAGGTTGTTTAGTGAGTGGGGCACCAGAGCAAGGAAAGTTAATTACAGTCTATGATTAGAATTTTTAATGGTATCCAGCTCTAATACATGAAATACCCAATTCTATAACCAGAACACACCTGCCAGCCAGCCAGCCAGCTGGTTGTGTGTGCCGGTCAGGGCTGCCTGGGACCGGACAGTGCTTCCGCGGGCAGGGTGGCGTTTGCCTCTGTCCCTCACCTGTGACCTGGCTCCACTTGTGTCCCCCACCCCAAGGCTGAGATTGTCCTTTGGATTCCTTATGGGAAAGATTTCTTAAACAAGAACGTCAAAAGCCATAAAAAGAATACCTGCGACTGTAATAAAATGAGTAACTTCTGTTTATTAAAAGCCACCATAGCTCTGGTTGGTGTGGCTCAGCTGGTTGAAGCGTCATCTCGTGCATTGGGAGGTCACAGGTTCGATTCCCCGTCAGGGCACATGTCTAGGTTTTGGGTTTGATCCTTGGTCGGCGTAAGTACGGGAGGCAACCAATCAATGTTTCTCTCTCACATCGATGTTTCTCTTTCTCTCTCTCTAAAATCAGTGCACATAACCTTGGGTGAGGATTCAAAATAAAAGAATGTTTATAAAGATAGTTTTTCACACAAAATGGTGTTACTCTTCAACATGCCTTCATTGCATGTCTAGCATGTGCCAGGGAAAGTTTTAGATGCTAGCCATACAGTGGCAAAAGAGAAGATAAAGTCTCTTCTTCCACAGAATTTCATTGTATCCGGAGAGACAGGAAATACTCAAGGAAACAATGCAATGTAAAAATTGAATTTGGGTAGTGAGAGCTGCTTTGAATCCAAGAAAACGGGTATCTGGGACGGGCAGTGGCGAGGCCTCCAGGTCGGGAAAGTTAGAAAAGATGGCATTTGGGCTTGTGTTCTAAAATCCTTGTGAGCTTTCCTCTTTGTATTCTGTTTCTACTCGCCCAGGCCACTCGGAAAAGGTGGGCTAGATGTTATCACCCACGCTTGACGGGTGGAAAATTTCAAGAACAATATGTTTCTTGCCCAAGACAAGTAATTAGTATGTTCTATTTTCTAAGTGAAGGTCCCACTGGAAAAGAGAAAACAGGAGCCATAAACATTCATGAACAGGACTTAGGTCTCTGAAATACATTCAAATTCAAGAGGCTTTTGCATGAAATCAGCCTCTATGGAATTTTCCACTGTTACAGAGCCAGTGAGCATTGATAATGATGAAAAGTATTTTGAGTTGTTTTTTTTTTTCCTGCAGTACGAGGGTGGGGGTTTGCTGAGCTATCACCAGGCCTCACTTACACCAGGCCTGCTGAGGACCAGAAGGGACCTTCACGAAGCAGCTGCCAGGGTGAAGGATGCGGTCCATGGCGATGGGTGGGATTAGGTGTCATGCGTGTGCTGCCCACTTAAAACTGGAGCCATGCATTGACCTGCCGACCGACTGAAAGGCAGGGTACCTCCACTTCTGTCTTCTGGGTGACAGGTGGTGGGGACAACGGAATAGCCCAACTCCTTTACTTAGCCATGCGACCTTGGGCTCTGACATAACCTCTGGGAGCCCCAGGCTCCTCATCTTTAAAGTGAGAAGAATGATTTTATGTACAATGGCTTATCAAGAGAATTTAGTAAGCTACTGTGCTCAGCACCCCACCTGGCAGTAAAGGCACTCAGTGTAAATCAGCTGGAATTATTATTGTCACCGAGTGGTAGAAATTCATTCATGGATTAGGTCATTGGCATTTCCCCTCATTAGAAGACTTACTCTTTTAAAACTTTTCATGAGACTTAGTGACAAAGATCTCAACGGTTCACGAAAGCCCCTAGTTGGATGTTAAGTCATTTTTAGTTTTTGGGTTTGGAAGCATTGAGGCCCTTTCTCTGGGAGCTTTCCCGCGTTAGCTAGAAGTGGGTTCCCTTTCCCTGGTGTAACACGAAGCATCACTGCCCCAAACCATCACAGATCCAGCTTCCAAGCACGATCGTGTGGGGTCGTCTTTGAGTTTTACAGGTGCTGGAAAGGCCCTGCTCTGAGTCTCTTTTGGGTGAAGTTGAGGGTACGTATGGTCCAGCTGTGGAATGTCCTATGTAAATCACACTTCTTTTATGGCACTATATTAAGACCGACTAGGCAGAATCATTTTTTATCATCATCATCCTTATCTTTCTGTTTGATGAATTCTGGAATTTTGCCAAACCAGACAGCTTGTAAAAAGAGATTCTCCCTCCTATTTGTACTGAGTCTTAAATCACGAACACCAGCTGTTTCTTTATTTGAAGTAAAACTCCAGGTGTGTCGGGGGCATCCAGGGAGCACCGGGGTTTGTTCCCCCTCTGGGATGTATGGGTGTTGTGGGTTATGCAGACGGGCGACTTGCTCCCTTGGTGCAGAAAGTGAGTCTCATCACTTTCTGTGACTCCTACCAGGCCAAGCCCCACGGCAGTAAATATTTGTTGATTCGATTTGCTGCAGGGCAGCAAATGAATGGTTGCATAAGCCGTGTTCTCAACAAGTTAGGGCAGCAGAAAAAGAGTACTTTTTTCCAACCAGTATTATCAGGGGATTTCTGGAAAATAGTTTGGAATGTATGTCCCTAAATCTTGAGAGACACGGAGCATAAATTAAACCTTCAGAGATAAGGAAGACTTGATATTTATTAAATTGCTTGCATTTTTGTAATGATTTATAGTTCCAAAATGCTGTGGTAGATATCGGATAATTAAATGATCACAACCACCTGATGAGCTATGCAGGCTGGGGATTCTTATTGAGCCGATGAGGAACGGCAGTCCTGAAGAGCAGCGCACGCCCAGAGGACCCGGCGTGGGGGTCCCCCGCCGGGGGACCTGCTCCACTGCCGGCTGCCCCGGAAAGCCAGGGGACTGCCATTTTGTGGACTTTGGTTTTTGAATTTGAGCGCCTTTAAAATGCACAGAATTCCTCCAGTTCCTCTGGCTTCACAGCCCCATTTTATTTGCCTGGCTTGTGAGGCCTTTTATCTTCCGGCTTTGCAGCGACGAGAGGGAGCTGAGGGGAAAAACAAGACACAGGGCACCCTCTCTGGGGTTAAGGCCAACTGCCAATTGAGGGGGTCACTGTGTGGTTCTCGGGGGTTTGCCCCCTCTTGTGCCTGCTCTTGAGGTTGGCATCCAGGGATAATCTGGGAGAATATCTTAATGATTTTGAAAGATTCAGACTGGACCAAAGACTCTATTTCTTTCCTTTAGGGGCTTTACGCCTTCGCATGGATGAGACAGCCCGTCAAACCGCAGCTCCCCGCCGTTACCTGTTAGCCTCTCGAAACCTTAGGTGACAAAATGTCCGCTTCTCTCGACAAACAGATAGATTCTGCTTGCGAATTTAAACAGCTTGGCCTCGCCTTGGAAAACCATTAACCCAGGCTTTGAGTTCCTAATTCCTTCAAGGGCAGAGCCCAGGTCTATTTGTTCTGGATGCTCCCCACCTGAGCACATGGCGACGCAGCAGCACCACCGGGCACCGCGCAGGCCTGGACGGGCGTCAGTGTCCCCCCCGCCCCCCCCCACACCCAGCAGGAGCCCAGCGCCTGTGCCTTCTTCCCGCTGAACTGACCGGCGAGACAGTCTCCTCCTTGGCTCCGAGTGCCTCGCCCTGGCGCCGTTCTTTTCTAATGGGCGCGAGAAACACAGGGGCCAGGGGAAGCAAAGACCTCCCGCTCCAGTTTCAGCGAATTTGTATTAAAAAGCTCAAGATGCCAGGCCCTGTGATGACCTGTCTCCTCCTTGTGAAGTGGTGTTTCTAAACCGCTCCCAGATGCAGCTGCTGGTGGACAGGTGTTAACTCCTTTAGGAAGCATGTCAAAGGAGGCATCCGATCTTCCTCCTTCCCCTACTCCCTCCCGCTCCGGGGCTATCGATAGGATTAATATCTAACAGACGAGTTTCTCAATGTCCTCAAGGCTCCCTGCTGCCTGGTGGGAGGTCTAGAAGCCTTCTGATTACTCTGGGAAACAACTACGGGACTCGTGGGGTCAGAAAGGTATTTGTTCAAGCTGGAAAGCGGACAAACGCTGTGCTGAGGGGACCTGGTGATGACCAGCGCCGGCCTGGAAGAGGTGCTCCTCTCCACTCCTGCCAGGGCTGCAGGGGTCAGGGGGCTGCAGGTGCCAGTGCGGTGGGCTCAGAGGCCAACAGCACCATGACCTTTGGAAATTAAGCCAGGAGATTGGGGAGAGGGGGTCCAGAGATGATTTCCCTAATTCCAATAGAAGGAGAAACAGTAACAAGTTGAGAGATCTTTTCCTGAGTTGCTCGAACCTGAGGGAGCTTTCGCTCCAACAAGATCAGGATTTTACTTTTTATTTCTCCGACACCTGGATCCAAATGTGTGCACACTCCCTCAACTGCTACCATCCTCCGCCCTTGAGCCACTTGAGATTCAGAGGAAAGCTGTTGCTTAGGACCTAATGGCCCCCCCGCGTTCTGCGTCTCCGTTTTCCTCACAAGGACGCGTTGCTCGCATGGCTCCTGATCGCAAAACCCAGGCTCCCAGGAAAGGATGGCTTCA